GGCTATGGTTTCTACAAATAATTTATTTATTTTTGCACTGTTGCTGATTAAGAAAGCAGAATTTATATTTTTTCTTAAAAAAAAAGAATCCGATGTACCTAACCGACGCAGCTGCCATGTTCTTTCTCCCCAAGCGAATCGGAGATTTAACGTCTTGTTCCATTCTTATCCATGTCTCTCATCTTCCTTCCGCTCTTTCTTTTTTTTCTCCGCTCCTAATATACCTCGTCGCATCTAAACATAGCTCTCTCTCTCTCTATCTCTCTCTCTCTTTTCAAACGAAACAAGCCAATCTCTTTGCTTGTTGCTGATCATCCAAAAGCAAGGGAGGGGGGCTGGGGGTGATCACACAGCGGCTAAAAAGCAACACTTGCATATGCAGATCATTGCATGCATTTCTTTTCCATCATTCTTCTTTGTTTCTCCGACTAGAGGGGAGGGGGGGCAGTTCACGTGTGGCTTCTTCTTTTTTTTTGGGGGGTGTTGCGGGACTCCCGGCTCCCAACGGGGCGGTTCGGCGCGCGTGTGACAGGCAGGGGGGACAGGCATAAAGTAAGTAGTGTCAGATGTTCATGGTGATGCAACGTTTTTGGTCCCCCCACCCCGGCACACACCCTGTGTTTCAGGGGGTTTGGGGGGGCATGGGGTGTATGCAATCAATTTGGAGGGAGCTTGATGGTGCTTGTGTGTTTGGGGTTGCGGGGTTTGTTTAAGCAGATGGTATGAGTGGGTGAGTGGGTAGAGGGAATTATTAGATGGGATTGTGTCCTGTATAATGAAGTGGATTTTGGTCTGACATGCATGGGTGAGCTGCAGTGATGAGGGTTGGTGCGAATCTTCCCTTCTTGAGTAGATCGCTTGTCATGCCATTATCGGTTTGTTCAAGATGTGAGGATATTTAGTGAGTTGCGGAAGCAGTTATTCTGGTATTATCTGTATCTAGTTCTACGTAGTAAAATAAATTCGTCAAGACATGAATAGAAATAGACGGAAAAAAAAACTAGGTCATACAATTCATGCAAACCGAAGAACATGTCTCCACTGGCTCAGCTCAAACGTGATGCGACGTGCGATGCCTGTGCCTCCGCGGCCTGTATAAATTGCCTTCCTTATTGAGAACATGCTAACACCAAAATGGCAACTTGAATGTACCTGTACCATCATTAGTATGAAGACGTCATTAGAGAATGTAAAAAAGGGTCTGACCTCAGCCAGCACTATCGGGTATTGAAATACTTCACCACCGGATCATTTATCTGCTGCAAAGAAGATCGTGACGGTAAGGATACAGGTCATCTTCAGCTCGAGAGTCAAGAGGCGACCCTGAATACCTCGTAAACATGACTAGTACATATCAATTAGAGTTTGGATTCCAGGCTGATCAGGATTAGCGTCACAAGACAGACGCATGGCCAAGGACAATCTGTAAAATTTCGTCCTTCAGGTGGAGTCGCTAGGCTCAGTCGGAGCAGTACTCATATACCTCGGGCGCACGAGTTTCCTACCCAAACCGAAGTCGCCAAGTTCAACAGGGTAGAAACCCATTTTCGCCACTGTAGACATCCCCATGGTACAGCTATCTTCTAGACTCCACTGTTTTTTTTTTCTTGCCAAAAGCATGCACAAGCATAGGCTAGAACACCGAGTGTGACTTGCCTTCCCAATCCAGGCTGAAAAGTTTCTTCCATACTGCGCCTCAAGCGGGTGCTTAACTAAACTTGGGCATTTGAACGGTCAATCAGTGGCACATGGTTTTTTCCTTTCGAGAAATTTTCTGTAATGGGCAGATGAAATAGGCAAAACTACTGCACGTCAGACAGGACGCAGATTGCAGAGGACCAAGCCTCCACCAGCCAGTCAGGCCAGTCGGGGTCGCGGAGATTACGTCGTTGGCGGGGGCGGGGCAAAGATGCGAGTCGGCAGCGCAGTCGGAGATGCTCATTGATAACGGCCATAGTTTCGCCGAACCACGCGCCACTGCGACTTTGCATGCCTATTTCTTTTTTTTCCACCTTCTTTGCTGTATGCCTCTTGTGAAGTTCAACTTTCGAGCTTCTTGCCGTCCTGTCAGAACTCCGGTTGCTGCTGCGTCCGCCCACCAAGTCTCTACTGCAGCTGCTGTGACTCGGCCCGCCGTCTCTTTTGCGCAACAGCGCCACTTCCGTACCTCGATCTTGAGGATGAATTCACACAGTACTTCGAGTCACATGGCCTCGTCAGGCGATGATCTGAAGCTGAAGAACCGCCTCAGTGAGAGCCGGAGTCCCTATGTCCGCGGCCACATGAACAATCCCGTCGCATGGCAAATATGGGGACAAGAGGCCATTGGACTCGCCAAGAAGTCAAACAGGCTGATATTCATCAGCATAGGCTATGCAGCTTGCCATTGGTGTCATGTCATGGAGCGAGAGTCATTTGAGAACGATGAGGTTGCGAATCTACTCAACGAGCACTTTATTCCCATAAAGATTGACCGCGAAGAGCGTCCAGACGTCGATCGCATATACATGAATTACGTCCAGGCTACGACAGGCTCCGGAGGCTGGCCTCTGAACGTCTTTATCACTCCCGATCTCGAGCCCATATTCGGCGGTACCTACTGGCCTGGTCCGGGATCGACAATGGCTATGGGGGAGCACATTGGCTTTGTTGGTATCTTGAAGAAGATTCGGGATGTGTGGAGGGACCAGCGACAAAGGTGTCTTGAGTCGGCCAAGGAGATTACAGCACAGCTACGGGACTTTGCTGAAGAGGGAAACATAAGCAGAAAAGACGGCGCGCCTAATGAGACTCTGGACCTAGAGCTGCTGGACGAAGCATATGAAGCGAGTACCACTTTCGCAAGCAGTACGAAATTGTTACTAACAATGCGCAGCATTTCAAGAAGAGATATGATCAAATACACGCAGGTTTCGGCGGCGCGCCAAAGTTTCCAACTCCCTCAAATCTCCATTTTCTCCTGAAATTATCGCAATATCCGAATCTGGTCAAGGAAGTTCTCGGGGCAAAGGACTGCACGCGCGCAAAAGATATGGCTCTGGCAACGCTATCTGCGATGAACAAGGGTGGCATACATGATCAGATTGGAAATGGATTTGCGCGCTACTCTGTAACAAAAGACTGGAGCTTGCCGCATTTTGAGAAGATGCTTTATGATCAGTCGCAGCTGCTGGCCGTGTACCTAGATGCTTACCTGATGACGAGGAGTCCGGAGCACCTTGAGGCTGTTCATGATATCGCAACATATCTGACGAGCCCGCCCATGCATGCCGAGAGCGGTGGTTTCTACTCGTCCGAGGATGCCGATTCATTATATCGCCCAAACGACAAGGAAAAACGAGAGGGGGCCTTTTACGTGTGGACATTGAAGGAATTTCAAGACATACTTGGCGAAAGGGATTCTGAGATTCTCGCCCGGTATTACAATGTCAAGGACGAAGGCAACGTTGCTCCTGAGCATGATGCACATGACGAGCTGATCAACCAGAATGTATTAGCCATTACCTCAACACCCGCAGATTTGGCCAAACAGTTTGGTCTTTCCGAAGAAAAGGTTAAGAGGATCCTCACTGAGGGCCGACAGAAGCTTCTCGAGCATCGCAACAAGGAGCGCCCACGGCCAGGCCTGGACGACAAGATTGTGGTATCCTGGAACGGTCTCGCTATTGGCGCTCTGGCGCGGACATCGGCTGCGCTGGCTTCTCAGGACCCAACACGTTCCAAGGAGTATCTTGCTGCAGCTGAGAAAGCGGCTGCCTTTGTCCAAAAACACCTCTACCACTCGGAATCCAAAACGCTGATACGTGTGTGGCGCGAAGGCCCCGGCGATGCACCTGGATTTGCCGATGACTACGCCTACCTCATTTCTGGCCTGATTGATCTGTACGAAGCTACTTTTAATGACTCATATCTGCAGTGGGCCGACGACCTTCAGAAAACACAGCTCAAGATGTTCTGGGACAAGCAGCATTTGGGCTTCTTCTCCACGCCCGAGGACCAGACTGACCTGATTATGCGGCTCAAGGACGGCATGGACAATGCAGAGCCAGGCACTAACGGCGTTTCGGCCCAGAACCTCGATCGTCTCGGCGCGCTGCTCGAGGACAGCGAATACACGCAGCGAGCGCGCGACACGGCCTCTGCTTTTGAGGCGGAAATTATGCAGCATCCCTTCCTGTTTCCGAGCATGATGGACGCCGTGGTTGCGGGCAAACTCGGCATCACGCATGCCGTCATTACAGGCAATGGTCAGAAGGTGGATGAATGGCTGAGGCGGTATCGCGACCGCCCGACCGGTCTCGGGACTGTCAGTAGAGTGGGCAACGCGACGGGCGAGTGGCTCAAGGCGAGGAATGCCCTGGTGCAGACTATGGATGCCGCCAAAGAAGGCGTCATGCTGTGCGAGAACGGGGCGTGCAGAGATGCACTGACAATGGATATGTCGAGTTTGGAGGATGCCGTGCCGGCGATATGACATGCGGGTAGGGAAGGTTTTTTGGTTGGTAAGATACCATTGTTGATTAATTGGCGTTTGTAAATAATACAGGGCCGGATTCTCTGCTAGATGCTTCTTACATGTATAATGAATCGAATATCTCTTGTTGAGCCCACAGTGTGTGTGTGTCTGAATTACGTGGCTGAAGTGATTAATGTTTTTTTTTAATATTCCATTGAGTAGAGAAAAGGAAATGTCCGCAATTGGATAAGTTCAACTTACTGCTAACTAATGACAATAACCATGATAACCGTCTTGGTATCATCATACTCCCTCCCTATTATAGACGAATAAAAACACAAGATACGCCCAGAACCCCAGTCTAAACAACCAAAACATACCAGCCCAACAACCCCTTTTCATTTCCCATCTCTCATCCCACTCTCCAAGAGCAGCTCATAAGAAGAAAAAAAAAAGGCCATCATTCTTCCCCCCCCCCCTTCCCTTCCCTCATACCCAAAAGGGAAGGATCGTAAGAGGAGAAGAAGAAGAAGAAAAAAAAGAATGGTCACTACGAGGGTCGAACTCGCGACCTTGGCGTTAACGAAAGGTCCGTTTGTAGGAGTAGAAAACTCCTAACCGGGGGTTTATTAGCACCACGCTCTAACCAACTGAGCTAAGCGACCTGTACCACCTTCTTAGGAAGCAAATCCTAGAGAGGCTTTTGATGTTGTTTGATGAGAATTTGAATAATTAAATCAGATTTAAATGTAAAGAAAAGAAATGAATTTTTGGGCGAGAGGGTATGGAAGGAAAGTTTTTTTGAGGGGGTTGAAAGGGGTGGGGCGGAGCGGGGCCGAAGGCGGGAACTGGGGTTTGGTGGGGTTGGGTGGCTTGGGTGGCGGCTTGGTGCTTTTTTTCTTTCTTTCTTTCTCTTGACTGGGTAATGAACATGTAGCTTTTTGTGGGTTATCAGATATGGATTTGGGGTATTTTTTTTCGCCGAGTCATACGTGGACGGATGATAGAGTGTTCAGATTTTGATTGGGAAGTACATATATATAAAATGACATTTTTTCATGTTAACTAGTTAGTCAATCTTATCAAATCTGTGCAAATGCTATCAAGTCCATACATGACTCCACGACACAGGTATCTGTTCATGAATCATGTCTTGTTTGCTTTCAACAGATTACACCTTATTTTCACCCTCCTTCCTGGCCGCTTTCTTCTCCTCAATAGCCATGCGCCACGACTTTCCATACAGCGCCGTGACATAGGTGCCCACGGCGCCAGCAACAAGAAAAGCAGCGCTAATGGTCGAGAACCAACCGACACCAATGGCTCGAACAGCAGGCAAACAAGCAGCAGATCCTGCAGCAGCAAACATGTAGCGCATAAAGTAGTTACCCGCTATGTCACTGTTAGTTTCCATGTCGTGCAACTAGAGACCACACAGTACACTTACCAACAACCTCAGCGCTCCGGCTCTGCATGACATCCAGACAATAGGTATTCAGACTAGGAAAACAGAAAAGCTGGCCGACACCCTGCAGAAACATCATAATGACGGGCAGGGCGACGCCGCCGACACGCTTCTCAACACTCCAACCGTAGATGAGCATGCAGGCTGGCATCATGACGCCCAGAAACAAGACGCAGCTGCGCAAGCGATCCTCAGAGACACGCTGGCCGCGCTTGCGAATGTACTTTTTGACTACGCGGTCGGCATAGCGGCCGCCGACAAAGGTGCCTATCAGGTATCCGCATCCAGGTGCAATGTAGAAGAGACCGGACTGCAATGGCGTTTCGAGATTGAAGCGCGGGTTCAGGACGTAACGGATGGGCGTGAGCAGCGAGTACATGTTCCAGACGAGTGCACTTGAGGCCAAGCCTGTGAGGAGGATGTTCGGGTACCGATACAGCATGATGATGCGAAAGGGGTTGAGCCACTGCCACATTTTGACGGCGCGCTCTTTTCTGCGCAGCCCTTGCAGCTCGTCGGCCCGTCGCTTGTGGATCGTCTCGGGCTGGAGGAAGAAGCAGAACATGGTTGCTGCGCCGGCCAGAGCCGTCTGCAGCCAGAAGATGTCTCGCCAGGTCCGGAATGTGACGATGATGCCACCAAGAAAGGGGCCCAGTGCTGGTCCGATAAGGGTACCACTGAGGAACCAGCCTAGTGCGGTTGCGCGTTCAGTCTGAGAATGGTGTTAGTAAAGTAAACAAAGACTGCAGTGAAGACATTACCTGGCACAATGCCCAAGTCATGTACTGTATGCTGTTATGAGTAAGAAGCAAACACTTACAGGCTTGTAGATATCGCCAATGACGGCTGATCCAATCACCAAAAACGCAGTGCCTTGAAACGCAGTAAGGATTCGAAAGACGAAAAAGGCAGCGAGATTCGGTGCCAGGGCTGTGCCAATGGAAAAGGCAGTGAACAAGGCAGCACTTGTTACAGAGACCCATTTGCGGCCGTAAATGTTGCCATAGGGCCCGTAGAAGCATGGAGACAGGCCCATGAAGAGCATGTAGAGGGCATTAGACACATTGATGATGGAGCCGTCGGTGTTGAAGGTGGCAGCCACCTCAGGAACGGCAGACAAGACAGTGGTTGAGGAGATGGGAGCGAGGAAGCTGCAAAAAGACACGACGGCAACAATGATTAGTTTTCGACTGTTGGAGAACTTGTTGTAGATGACGTCGTTGTCGCCAGTTGCGACATATTGGACATTGACCATGTCGTGGTGATTGCTCGAGACTGTGCGTTGGAGCTGCAATTGGTCTTGCTGGGGTGGTTGTTCAGGGACAATGGAGGCATATTGCGTCTGTTTCTCAGGTTCGGTGCCCGGATTGGCATGCTGAGGGCCAGCGGGTACTGAGGAGGATGTGGAAGAGGGTGCCATTGTGCGTACTCATAGAAGGCAAAAGTCGTGAACAAAAAACAATGTTTCAGTGAATGAGTCGAAAAAGATTGGGCATAGAGAGTACTATCAGATAAAGAGGAAGAATGCAAGCGAATCAAGAGCATTGATATACGATTGGTTTGGGCTACAGATTGGGTTATGCTTGGGTTGCAGGACGCTAATGGCGGATCATATCCGCGGGTGGATACGCGTTGTTGTCCATAGAAAAGCTTTTCCGTGAAGAATCTTCGCTTCGAGGAGTAGATATATCCGAAAAGTGGATCATGGCCACAGGTACAATCGGAACAAGAATGTCCGGGCGGAAACGTTGCCGGCGGTGTGAGTGCGTCTTGACGATTCAGTTCAAGACAGGCATTGTGTTCTAGGCTTTAGTCAGAGTAGATGCAATCTATACCAGGCAGTAGGCAGTGAGGTGACGAAGAGTGGACTCGGGAATAGTGCGAGAAATATCTTGGCACAGGGCCACTCACGTGGGTGCTCACGTGGACAGTAGCAACAAGAAAACAAGAAAACAACAAGTAGCAATACAGGGCAAAACGCTCAAATGAAGAGCTCAGATATGGGTGTATATAGGGCCATGTCGGCCGTGGCCGTGGCCAAATGTGTTACCCAAGAATGTCGTTAAAATGTCGAACCCGACCCTAGAAAAAGGGTGCGTGCACAGTCCCAAACGCCGTTGTCGATGCAGTTACACCTTTTAAAATCAAGTGATGCAAGTCGCGAATGTCATATGCTGAGCTTGTCCAGGCTCAAGCGATCCGCGCTCTTGTGTCGCTTGATCATGCCAAGCTTGTAAAACTTCTCCTCGCCTGTTGCGGTGCGACCACCAATATACCACTTTTCTGCGCCCATGGCCTCGTGGAAGCCGTCGGAAGAGCTATCTGAACCTCTCCTGCTCCGTTGCGATGCGCCCGGTATGGGAAAGGCCTTTGCTTGGGGCGATGTGGAGCGGGCGTAAGGAGGGGCGTGCTGTCTGGTGGGCTGAAAATGGCCGGTTCCCTGGACAGCAACGGTTGCGCCCGGTGAAGGGGACCGCGCCTTTGCAGTGATGGTGCGCGACGCGGCTGCCGAGTCGCGGGCCTGTTGTTGCTGTGCCGGGGTGTTCTGGGTGTAGGATGCGACAGAGGCAGCTTGCGAGGACACGGTCTTTTGGAGCGAGGGCTGCTGGGCGCGGAAGGCAGCGAGAAAGCTCCCGAGAAAGGGCCTGTTGGTAGTCATGGAGCGATCGGGGGCGGGGTGGTCTGGTGAGGGCCGGTGTGCGTCGTCGTGCATCAAGGCCCGATGGCTCGTTTTGTGTCTGTTGAGCGAGGCGCTGGGTGGGCTGAGGGCGGTGTGGACGGGCGTGCTGGCGGGCCGGGGGGCGGAAGGCGAAGGGCGACGTGTAGCGGGCGTAGGGTGCAGGCCAGCAATGGGCTGTGGTGGTGTTTTTGTGGTCGAGTGTGGCGGAAACGTCGTGTTTACGCCATGTGCTTCCGTGGCAGAGGCCGCGGTAGGCGATTAGCGGGCTATTGTGTATGTAGGAGACAGGGGCGGGCGTGTGACGTAGTTGCTGTTGAGGCGAGGTGACGGTGAAGGAGGTCTTGCTACTGCCTTGTAGTGTGGCTGGCTGGCTGGCTGGCTGGCTGGCTGGCTGTGTACTCTGTGTGTTATATATGTGTATGGGTGTGCATGGAGGGACAGTAGCCGAGGTGAGCGCGGTGGGTAGTGTAGCTGATGGGCGAGGCGGACGGTTGTTTCGTGGACGGAGCCGCGAACCGTCGAACTGTCGATGGGCAAGGAACAAGTCGGAAGCAGAGGCTGGTCATTGGACTCTGACACGCCCGCCCGCTCGTACTCGGCCCAACCCCCCTCGCCCGCCTGTCCGTTCAGGCTGGCGGTGGCCGGGGGTTGGTTGCCAGTGGACGAAACGACGTTTTCCCTGCTGGCCTCTGCCTCTGCCCTCGCCTTACCTACTCGCTGCATAGCGCCGACCAGACCCGCGTCACATGTGTCGTCCATCTGCTCTGCGCTGCCCTCGGCCCTCGACCCGCTGGCAGTGCGCATGGCCGGCGGCGTGCACCACCATGTCGTCTGCAGCGTCATCTGGCTGGATACACACATACACACACACAGCAGCATGGATGCATGCCCCTCAAGAGCCCGTCAATGTGCCTCGAAACGCGGGGTTGGCCCGGAAATAGGTCGCGTCTGACTGGCCAGCCGGGCGCCATGTGAAGATGCATGTCATGGCCCCACCGCGCCTTGCCTTGACTCGCGGCCTGTTCATGGCTGCAGCTGTCGGATCCACCATGGCCGCTGCCACTCCGCCGCACAGCCATTGGCACTCTCTGCCGTCGACTCTTGCAGTCGTGTACGCGATGCATCTACGGTATGCGCAAACCATATGCCCGGATCCCCAATCGCCTCCAGCTTGCCAACCATGGCCTCCACGCACAATTGGCACCGACGTCACCGGATCCGCATCTCCTCGGGCCTGAGCAAGATCAAATAGCCATCACCACGCGGCGCAACCACCCTCGGCCATGGCATCCTTCTCCAGTCTCCCCAATGAGCTGCTCGAGCAAATAGCTGCCCGTCTTTCGCAGCATGACGTCTCCTCCTTCTGCCGCCTCAACAGCCATCTCCACACACTGGCTACTCCCTTCCTTTACCGCCATGTCGATCTCTTCGTCCCGCCCAGCAACAAGCTCCCAAGGATTGATTACTTTTGCCTGAACATCCTCAAGGACAGCAGAAAAGCCGGCAATGTCAAGTCGATCCGTCTGGGCGTCTCCTCTGGTGAAAGCGTTACTCAAGGCCGGCGACAGCTTCCTCACGATAGCTCTTTCGACCATGCCTACCTCCTCCAAAAGGCCATGGACATCTGGACCAACGAGACCATGTTCCCTACCAATGCTCACCTGAAAGAGGCACTTGGTATGTGATTTTTGATTAGCCCGTCTTTGGGGAGACTCTTGTGTCATGGCACTGCCTACATACATCCCCGAGACTTATTCGCAACTACAAGAAAAACGCCAACATCTGCTCTTATCATGCTAGCCCTGATTTCTAACAATGCCCCCTCCTTAGAACTACGCGAGTATTCTGCGTATGCAGCACTCATCATCCTAGTCCTCCCATCACTTCAACATTTACACGTAACCGACTGCAAGTCTACCACGTATGACTATCTCCAAGCTTTGCCCAGTCCCCTGGCTCCCGAACCATTGGGGACTCCGCGCTTTTTGGCCCAGTCTCTTGTCCGTCGCCTGTCGTCCATCACACACACTTCTCTTGTCTTTGACCAAACAAGAGGCATAGCATACCGCGATCCAAAAACTTACCTTACCGCTGATCATTTTCTAAATCTCCCCAATATCCAATCCCTCGAGCTTTCAGTCCGAGGTGGGTTGCGTCATCAATCCACGCTCAGAACTGACGTTCCACTCATCCGGCGCATCAGACCGACTAATATCACCACGTTGGTCTTCCGCCATTCGGGCGCTTTCATCGCAAGTACGCGCTCTCTTTTTCAGTGCATACCTAGGCTACGCTCACTTACCTACGACTTCATCTTCGATGGCAGTTCAATGGTAGATCCTGTCGTCGATCTAGCCGCCTGGTGCGACGTGTTACAATCCTTTCGGTCCACGCTCGAGGTTCTTGTCTTCAGTATAGAATACTGCGACAAAAACGTCTGGTTCTACTGTCAACCCCGCATCTTAATGATACTGCATGGTCACCTTGATATGACACACTTCCCTAAACTTCACACTCTGGAAGTCCCACTTCCCTTCCTGACTGGAGACCCCGACTTTACCGTCGAAACACCAGTCACCCACCTACTGCCACCAAACCTGCGACATCTTACCCTGCGCACCGATCTATCGCATGCTCAGCATGCGCATTCTTTCGATACATCTATCCTGCCAGATGGCCTCTCGGTCAAATCATCGCAGCGAATGGCGCACTACCTCATGTTAGCCCAAAGGGATGTTTCGGTCATATGCCAGACCTCTCTTACTCTGCTCGACCAGGCAACAACTCTTGAGTCGCTATCCATATGGCAGCCCGCTGATCCTTCCCTTGCCTGGCTTGACAGCCAAGTTGAGGATTTTGCAACCACTTGTCGTAATAGGAACATTACCGGCAAAATTCTGATACCAATGCTGTTGAGGTGGAAGAGTGCTGCGCACTGGGATCTGATGCAAGAGAAAACAGTCTTAGATAGAGATGCCCCAGGGCTTGGGCCTCGGACAAGATTCTGGAGGAAGGAGTGGGAGGGGAGGCCGTTGGGATTGGCAACCCAGTATCTCTTGCATGCGTTGAAATTTCACCCGGTGAAACTCTAATCCTAATGATCAATTCTACAAGTTGTCGCCTCTACTCTAATCAATAACGACCGCATTCAACTGTCTCTTCCCTGTGATTGAAAACGCTAAAGTCCAAGATGAACGATATAGTGTTGTGATAATGGTAGCTTGCACGTGCTGTCGCGTGTTCTTAGTGCGGACCGAAGCGCGTCATCCCGCCAAGCTGACGCGGGCATTGCCTCGACTAAAAACTGACAACTACGTACATGTGCACCTGCAATGACTGATGTCTGGAGTGGGCATCTCCTGCTACCGGACGGCCGTTTAATCAAAGGCATGATGCATTGCCTTCATGTTCCCACTATTGCTAACACTGTGCAGAAATCAGCCTCACTACGCAAAATGGCGCCTCGTCGCCAATCCTCAGCACCACTAGCCTGCGCTTCCTGACCACCGTTGATACCGCAAAAATACCACTATACCTTACCGCTGGCCCAAGTCTAGACGTATGGACAACCGAAGAAAGTACTCAAGCCTGGTTCGAGTCCCTCTTGCTCAGCAAGCCTACAACATCCCCAAATGCATCCAATCATGATACAAATGAGTGGTGGAACCTCGCGCGCTCACAGTCTCCCATTGGGATACTAGCGCAAGTGCAGGATGTATCAGAAAGCACTCAGAAGCCTAGGATAACAGAAATTCTCTTCTATGGGACGATTGCTGCGCATGCCGCCGGTGGGATACCAACACTGCCATCGTCCTTGTCATTTGTCGACAATGCAGGCGAACAGCTGCCAGAGCTCAGGGTACACGCAACACCGCTTTCGTCTGATATGCTACAATATGCCAGCATCGACCCGCCAATCGACAATGACGCTCATTTTCTCCCACCAATGCACAACGTCCACGCCCCACCCAGGTCTCCGAAGAAACACCGAGATATCTTTGAGGAGGCTACAATAGCGAACAAGAAGGCGAGAGGAAGGGGTGGAAGAGCAGTCTCGGCAGCGGCTGCTCGGGGAAGCGAGTCCCAGCTGCCCTATGCCCACCGCAAATCGTCATTGTCCATTGATAAAAGAGCCTCGCCCTTCCCAGACTCGAGACCATCGTCTTCGTCTGGTCCTCTTCCACACTCCAATTCTCGTCCGCTGTCTCGATCACCGAGCATCTCTTCAGATGCAAGACCAATGAGCCGCAAAGGCCCGCCTGAGGCACACACGAGGCGATCCAATCTTTCCCAGGTCGCTACTGTACCCATCAAGCCGGAAGAGCCAACAACAGAGTCGCGGAACAAGGATGCACTCGTCAAAGTGGTCATGGCGGCCATGCGCATGCACGGTCTGCAGCAGCGAAAGCAGAACAAGTCCCGTCGGGCATCGTTGGCTGTTGCTGGCGACGAAATCGAGCGCTCGAGTGAACAGGCAACCCCAGAAGAGTCAGCTAAAGATGACGAGTACAAGTTGATTTATCATCAGACCTACAAGGGTGCAGCGCTTGCGCTGGTATGTTAGATATGCTTCTTTTCTCCAAGTCTGGTAAATAACTGTCCACAGAGAAACCACATGTCCGAGAAACCATTGCATGTTCAGCCAGATCGGATGCGAGATGTTGTTGAAAAGCTACTGGTAATATTCTTGTCTGATCCGCTTGCGGAACCACCGCCTGCCGATGTGCCCGCGGATCCAGTGGCCACTCCAGGAAGTAAATCAAGGCCTGGTATTCCGGGATCCACACATGGACACGCAAGTCCATTCGATCTCCCTAGCACGTCTCGACCTAGAATGATGAGGTCCGTCACCGACAGTCACGTCTTTACTGGGTCGCCCGTCAGCAAGAAGAGGCCCTCTGCTAACCGGCCAGCACCGACGTGACATAGCCAGCATGATGAAAATCCTGGATCTCTGTTCAGTAATGTTCAAACGCACGGTGTGACATTGCGATGATACAGTCATTTAGCATCAATATGTTGCCTGGACGCCTGGACCGGATACGACCTAACATCCTTCCCATTGCGGCACTTTGGTGGCGCTTGTCATCATTCGTCAGCACCTTGCGACGATCGCCAGCCACCACGACAAACATGGTCGTTGTTAACATCGAAACCATGGTGGCTTCTAGCATGATGTCACAAGTATTTACGTGCTCTTGTGGTAAGGCGCCAGGGGAGTGAGGCTAATTTTGTACCTTGCGGAGCGTGACACGACACAAGTGGACGACGACTCGTACTATTAGTAACATCGACATGTACAGTCTCGTATTCTACGTGACATCAGGGGATGTGGATTTTGCCTTTACGTGACTGAAGTTGATGAGGCAAAAAAAAATGGGAACAATAGCGGTATAAAAGGCCCAGCAGCCAGGCTGTTGAAGAGACCGCACTACAGCACTCTCACTCAATAACTCATTCCAAACACACATTCGCTACCTTCCCAAGTAACAACAATCAACTATTCTCACCATGTTTTCCAAAATTGCCTCATTCGCCCTTCTCACCGCCGCCAGCGTCTCAGCAGCAGCCGTCCCTAGCACCACGCCATGGACCTGGCAAGTCACCGACTTCAGCAGCGTCTGCACCGCCGCAACGTGCCGATACTCCTTCAACGTGTCCGCTCCCGTCGGTCCATCCGGTCAGCCAGCTTTTGATGCCGAGTTCTGCTCCGGCACCAGTGTCCAGGGTGGATTCAAGTCCTGTGGCGTAGTCGGCGTCGATGTCCCTGGCGATGTGCAGACGCAGGAATTCAACCAGGGACGCGATATCGGGGCTATTATCAGTGTCAAGTACTCTTTTAAGCAGTAAGTTTTGACATCCTGTTCCGGTATGAAGTTGCGGGGGGAAATCGAAAGCTAATGAGTGGGAATAGGGGTGATGCTACGTACACGTACACGGGTAACAACTCTGTTGCTCACACTGGCTTGGGCCCCGCTGTTGATTTTACGATTATTCCTACTGAGGTTACTGCTGTGGCTTAAGCGTGTTGGAGAGGTTGGTGGTGGCGTTGCATGCATTCGCCTTGCTAGAACTTTGTATCTTGGGGGGATTGCTCGAAACTTCGCACTAATATTGTATCTATCTACATTTCTCCTCTTTATACAATAGATTGCCGTTAATCATATCTCTACTATACTACCTTGTCCTTGCTTATAAAGCACTGCTTAAAACTTTCCACTCATAAAAGGCTTCAGGCCAGTGTGGTCATCTTGAGTGGCAACCATATACATAGTGAGTGGAACATGAGAGGATACCATCTTGCAAGATTCAAAAGAAAACATTAAATTCATGACAGTGATATAAAGCGTAACCAACCAATCATCCAACCAGCCAGAAGCCATTGGTAACCATAAAAAAAAAGGGGAGGAGAATCCAGAACACATTATTCATAACCCAAACCACGCCGCCATGATTAAATTAACCCATCCAACCCCAAACAACCACACACAGGCATACATACTCACTTGATCTCCTTGCCCAGCGGCTCACCCACCTCGGCCAACGTAGCAAACGGATGCTGCTTGCGCTTAAACCCAATCTTGACCCTACCGACCCTCGACATTTTATCCTCGAACTCGGTACCAATGCGTAGCACAGTCTCGCGATACATGGTTTCCGTCGTCCAGTCGTACGAGCAGCCGATGATGCGCTTCATGCCGCCTTCGGAGCCGGCCATGAGGAAGCAGACGGGGGGTCGCTCGGCGGTGAAGAGGGTTGCTGTCATGTTGCCTAAGTTCTACTTGTTAGTTTTCTTCTTCTTCTTCTTCTTCTTGGGGAGGGTGGTGAATGTTTAGGGGGGGAAGGGAAAGGAAAGAAAGGGGACGAACCGGTGTCTACGAGGGTGAAGACGCGTTGGTCGCCTGGACCAGCGGATTTTGCCTTTTGGACGAGAGCGGCGACTTCGGGGTCCGAGGTTGGGTCGATGGGGGTGCATTCGTTTTTAGAGTTGCGGTAGTGGCGCGAGAGGGGGCTTGCTGCTGCCTATGTTTACAATATCATGTTAGCTCATTTTGTTCCTCTTGCTGTTATAAATCCAAGAAGAAGAAGAAGAAGAATGGAGAAAGAAAGGGGGAGGGGAACGTACAGTCCACTTCATGCGGCCCAGTCTGCCACCAAAAATCTGGCGCTCAATCGTCTCGAGATCCATGTACCCCTCGAAGCCAAAGAACCAGCACTGCTGGTCCCAGAACTTGCCGAGATAGAGGAGACGCAGTAGCCAGGGCGAGAGAGCCATGAGTATGAGCGAGTAGATGATGAGAATGATGCCTGCTGTGCGGACGGATGTGTCGGGCACGGCGGTAAGCGCGATGGCAATGATGAAGACCACTCCGCCGAGACGCAGGGCTTTCTTTGCGAGCCACCGCTTCCATGCTTCGCGCCGGACGTATGCGACGGGTGTGAAGGACTTCCAGCGCACGTTTGCGGCGCGGCATCCGTCAAGGATGATGCTGTCGTCTTCGCCTACGCCGGCAATGCCTACGTCTTGTGGGAGGATATCCCAGAGCTTGGCATTGTAGGCGTCGTCCATTGAGTGCCAGGGTTGATCGGGACTTTTTGGTAAGACGCAAATGAGACGCTCTAGGAGTTGCTCGCTTCCGTTTGCGAGAGAGAGACTGTGTGTTGGGTTAGTAAGATGAGACAAGAGGTGCTCTACTATACGAATCCGACTTACCGAGCAAAAGCTTGGAATGCAGAGTCTGTACCGTCGATTTGGGGGCGTACGCGAAGAAGACCCATTAGTGCGTAGCTGTGATCTCCTGGGAGGTATTGTGTGGTGTCTCTGTTGTGGAGGCACTCAAGAGCAAGTGTGACGAGCTCGAGTTGGCTCAGAATCAGGTTGCCCTCGTAATGGTCGATGAGCTAGGCTGGTTAGTAAAAGGTAGCAAAAAGGGTTCATGAGGGGTTTTCTCATACCTGTCGAGCGACGTGGGCATCATCCACCCATACTTGAGCCGCAAACTGGTTCTTGGGCACCATGATGGGGTGGTCAAGATTGCTGCCGCGTACGAAGACACTGATTTCTCGTCCTGCAGGCGCTAGCAGAACTTCTGGGAAGGTCCAGACTCTGCGGCCCCATTGCTGAAGCATCAGTTCTGGTGTGTTGATCTCAGATGAGTTATTTGAAGGAAGGCCAACGGCAATGGCTAGGGACCGGGCTCCTCGGATAACATCGCAAATGCGGTAGACCTATGGATGAGTATTAGTGGGGGGGTTTCTTCAGCGTTGACTATGCTCTTCACATACATCTTCTTGCAGCTGGTTGTCAGGCATGCAGGAGCAGCCAACCCAGTATGCAATCACTCCAGCTCTACGAGCGGCCGCATCGGCCATTTCGTGTAGGACTCTAAAGTCTTCGGGTGTGCTGAACTGCTCTGCCGTGTATGCAACAAACACATAGGAAAGGTTGTGAGCTCCACCTTGCTCCGCAATCCTACTCAAGTTAGCGGTAGCCTTGAGAGTTGATGAACAAGGACTTACCATTCATCGACCTTGGTGATCTTTGCAGGCCTCCCATCACGTAGGAAGCAAAGATACCTTGGCTGTAGTATGCGTTCAGCAATGGGATTTGCCTGGCTCGGAACGATGCCATTGGGGTTAGCCGTCTCAAGCATATTCTTTGCAACCTTGGGATAGCCAAAGTACTTATAAGGGACAGCATCGTAGTTGCCTCCATTGCGATCGGCAATCTCAGCAGGACTGGGACTAGAGATCTGGCGTTTTGTTAGAATGATGTGGCTGATCAGCAGACAAGAGAACATACGCAAACGGTGATGAAGCACGCCGCGACAAACCACTTGAAGCCAAGAATCATGAGGTCATTGTTTGAGGCATGGCCATTGTTCGCCGCATAATCGATATGGTTGAATGGCCAGTTCGCCAGGCGCATGTACAAGGGCGCGACGTTGCGGATGAATGTACGCCTATAAGTAGATCCAGTATTGTTTTCGTAAATATCGTCAACAGCCTGCACAACTAGCTTCGAAACTTTGCCATCCCAGGAAGAGATGTAGCGATCATCGTAGTCACCCTCCCATTCTCGGTCCAAGCAATCTCGATGCCTGTGGTGACCAAGCTTCCGATAACCGAGGCCTGGCTTGCGGTAGAAGTTTGGAAATCCCCACTTTGCGTTGGTAAATGGGGTAAAAATGTAACTATATCCTTTGAGCCTCAAGGGCCCACGGGGCTGTATCTCATTAGAAACTGTAGACTTTAGATCAGGGTTGACGAACCAGAATGAGCGATTGCCCTGGCTGTTGCTCTGGATCTGATGCCTGGCCATTATTCGGAGTGTTGGAGACATATGTCGTCTCGTATACCGAAGCCTGGACGTTTTCGTTGTGCATTTTGAAGATTAACGAAAGCAATTACACAGTTGTGTGATAAATCCTGGTCGGGAATCTACTTGGTATTGTTGTTGGTGTTGTGGTGGTGGCGGCTGAAAATGCTGATACGGTTGCGAATCATACACCGTAGACGCCTGTTCAGATTCACGTCAGCTTTGGAGAGAAATGATTGCACATCAAACTCACTTGAGATGCAAATGTTGGTTGCGGGCGGGGTGGTGGTTGATTGTATACCAGTGGTACAGCAGATATGGTGACAGCGGGCTTATTTGGATCGTAGCTGCCTCCACCACAGTGACTTGATTGATTCTAACCAAGTCAATTAGATTACTGAGTGCTTAGTACAGGAATCCGGATTATACGAACCGGGTAATAAGATTGCTGGTATGATTGTACGTGGACAAAGACGCCAGTTTCAGGATCGACTCCTCCACCGTGTCGGCCAGAAAGGTTAGCAGAATAGTCCTGCCTAGTGTAAGCGGCTTGAGAAAGGGGGTGAAGGTAATTCAGGGCTATTATACCATTCAATTATAGCGCCTAATTAAAATGGGCGGTAGTCTCTGCCAGGTTGCTCGAGTCACTGGCGAGGCGCGAACGCAAGCGATCTTATCAACTTCGAGACTTGAGGACTAGAGCCATCCTGATCGGTTTGATGGGGCCAAGTTACACATGATCCTAAGTTTAGTGGGTGTATACCACATTTGGAGTTCAGCTCGACATTATCCCGAATGATTGGCTGCGTTGGCGGCCCCCTCACTTCATGTCTGGCAAAGCGTGTGATGGCGTTAATGCATAGTCCACAAGGACCGGAACTTGCCAGACAAGGCTGAAAGCACGTTGTGTAAACGGATTTTTCGTGCTACGCCCATGAGCCATATCAGACCACACTATCTCCTTCGCCTGAAAGCTTCAGGGATGGCGAAACTTTGCAAGATGGCGCACTCTTCTTGGCCTTTCCTACATAGACACGTGTATAGCTTCAGCATACACATGTCAGTAGTTCAGCAAAGGTTAGGTGTTGCACTAATGGGCTCGCCGGATTCACTCTCTTGCACAATGTTACCAGTCCTTGTACTCGATCAACACGAAGCGTGGGTACGAGTGGGTACTGTACCCTTTATTTACTGGCTGGAGGACTTGTTACCGGACTTTGGTTATCATATCATGCCGTGCCAAGACCGCTTTAAGTAACGAGGCAGACACTGTTAGCCTAGATAGCAGGGCTGTATTCAGAAAAGAGACCACCATGCTGCACTCTACCAATCCGCGTGATTCTTGTTCTCGTGTACACTGCCCTTTTGGGCAAAGATTGGCGAGGTCACTGCCAGCTGAATCCTTGGCAATCTCAGCCTGGCGCCACCAATTTTGTTTGGCGCTAGCATTACTATCTTCTGAAAGGTCTGGCCATGCTATTGATTTTCCACTCAGCTTTTGGACGAGTTTTGCGTTGATGTTTTGGCCCCCAAGAGGCCGCCCGCAAGTGGGAGGGGGCTTGTTTGCAGGCGATGGCTGCAGGGGCTTTGGATGGTGTCGTTTCCAAATGTGCCACGGTTAGAGCCACGAGTAAAGTGTGACTAACCGATCAGCTCACAAGTACTATCTCCGCGCTTGAAGTCTTCGTGCCATAATGTTGTTACTTATTAGTCGAGTGTGTTCAGCCTCCTGTGCAAGCAGTAAAAGATGGTTTCATTTCGGAGCTTGACTGCAGACCGCAGACCTTTTCATGAGTTCAGAACCAAGTCGCGAAACAGTGCGGAATCCAGGAAAGAAAAATCATATGGTGTTGTGAATCTACATGTCTTTGAATGGCTAGACTCAGCTGTCCAGGGTAAGGAGATTGGTGGCATCCAGTCTATCGAAGCGCTCGAAGCGCAGAGCAAAGGGGCCGTCCGGGTAATGTGAGTATCGTACATAGCAAGATTCCCGACAATAATTGACTGAAATAGATTCGCACCCCCAGACAAACCCACGGGAAACTACGGCGAAAGTCTACTTGAGTTTCTTGAAGAATGGGGAGTCCCAAGCGCGTTTGTCGATGAGGGCCTGCAAGGTGTCTCACAGTCCTTCGCGGCTCGTGAAGATGTTGATGGAACAACGTTTGTGTGGTTCCATTTCTTGTGCAAAACCCTCGCAATAGTTGACAAAAAGATTGTCCATCTCAGCGGTGAAGATGAAGACACTAGCGGACTAGGGATGCGTCAAACGGCGCAAAGTCAACCTCAGGCAAATTTCTCCTGGATAAAACCGGGCTTCGTACTCAAGATCAGAGAGCAGAACGCGACACCTCCGAGGGCTGCGCGTACGTTCAGCTCGAATAGCGATGATACCTTATCGTCAACAAGAGCTCCTCCTGTGGTTGAGTTGTTTTGTTTTGGAGTTCCAGCTTCGTTTCAGAACCGCTTTCGTGCCTTGATAGACATGGCAAAGTGTGAAGATCTGATCCGCGATCCATATGCCCTGCTGGAGGTAGCATTTGAAGAAATGTACAAAGTCCTGGACTGGACAGGGTGGAACCTAGGAGACATTTTCGGAACAATGGAGACGGTATGGAACCTTCTATGGTATGAAGATAGCTGCTAACGCATCGTCAGCAAGCACTGGAAATGGCGAGAAATCCTGGGAAAGCAACAAAGGATTCGCTCAAAGACCATTTTACCGGGCTTCACAATCTCGCAAAGCATACGATATACTTGCGCGAGAACTGTGAGGCTGCCCTGGCTACCCTTCAAGGCCTCTATGACCACCACGAGAGTGTGATAGGCAAAACCCCCAGCTTCCATCAAAAGTTCACTCGCCAGGCATTGGAGTACCGCAGGACACTCTTTGAGTCTACGCAGCGGCGGCTTACGAGTCTTGACGCACGAATATCCAATATCATCCAGCTGTCTTTCAATGTGGTCACACAGGGTGACAGCAAAGTAATGCAGTCTGAAAACCAGAGTATGAAGACAATTGCTGTTACGACGCTTCTCTTCATGCCTCTGGGTACAGTTGCATCTATATTTGGCAGTCAGTTCATGCAACTGCAGGAAGAGTACCCTTACCATATTACAGTGTCGCAAGACTTTTGGCTCATGTGGGGTAAGTGCAAACAAGTGATGGATGCCTCAAGTAACGCCGATCTAACCCATCTCCAGTCATTGCAGTTCCCTTGACTTTTATAGTCGTGGTTGTCTGGCGAGTATGGTACGTGGATGCGAGGGAGCACCTTGTAGACGGTATGGAGAAAGAAGAAGGAAAAGGATATCTAGGGTGGAGGTCATTGTTTAGGAGGTTACGCAGGAAAGGTGCACCCGCGAGAATAGCCCCATAGCCAATGTATGGCGGGGAGCTGAGAGAGCAACCCAATGGAACTACCACATTGATGAATGGTAGGTGCAGTGACTTGACTTCTCTGATCATAGAACAATGCGACTGAATATACCACCGAACAAAGTATATACTTTAATACATATTGATGCAGTAAAATACAAAGCGACCCGCAAATGTGCTATAGCCAAATATCGGCGGTGTTTGTCATAAATATAAGCCGCTCAATACCGCCTAACCAACAATCAGTAATGCTAACCATTCATAACATGCCTTGGTCCATAGACATTCCAGTCCCCTCATGGTCTCGATGCCCAATATCTACCGCGCCACTAACTTGAACAAAGTCTTCCAACTCTTCGCTCGTGGTCTTGAGCTTCTCCTTGACAGCTGTAACTCCCTCGATGCCTACTATATGGCGCGCAGGAGGGTTGTCATGACCCCCGATCGCAGTCAGTGCGTGTACCGTTTCTGCAATCAGATTGCTTTTTACTGCTGCAGGTAATGGCGCGTACAAGCTCGTCACTGTATTAGCATTGAGCAAATCGCCCATTGTCGGTTCTGCGTCCTGTCCAGCCTCAGACATGTTGCTGTCTTCGCCAGGGGACTTCGTTTCGTCAAAGCTGTGAGGAGGGTTAACAGAAGGGTTTTCAATGCGTTCTAGCTTGTCTAGGAGACCTGAAAAGATTTCCCGAGCCAAAGGTGCGGGGTTTTCGCCTTGGAGGTACTCTGGCATCGGAGGGACGGATGTGATGCGGTTTGTGAGCACATTTACCTCCATATTTGCTTGGACTAATGACATCTTGACATTGAAGGGAGCGATTTCATAGGCGAGACTCTATGCGGTGAATTTCAGCAAAGTTCACGGCGCTATTCGGTGTAAAATACTCACATCGCAGTAGCCCTCAATAGCCCACTGAGAAGAACAGTACATTCCCAGGCCAGGCGTGCCCAGATGACCGGCTGTTAATAGTTAGAATACGTCCAAGCTGAAACGAGCTGTAAAGAGAACCTACTGATGCCAGTTATCACAATGAGATGACCGTTCTTCCGTTCTCGCATAATGGGAAGTACGGCTTTGATAATGTTCACATTCGCGAAAAAGTTGATCTCAAAGATTTCATCGACTAGACTTATTGTTCGAGTGCTCTGGGACAGCTCTTCAACTGTGCCTATGACAGCTACCCCCGAAATCTGTGGTCAGCCCAAGTTTGTTTTTGTTTTTGTTTTTCGCAAAGATGGCTTACCTTCGCTCGCGGCGCACAGTAGAACGTCAATCCGCCCAAATGCTTCCACAGCCTCAGCAACAGCTGCCTGGCATTGACCAACGACCCTTTGTACGCGATGCAATTAGCGCAATAACAGTGTTGATGCAATTTGCGAATACTCACCTACTGTCCAATGCCACAACCCTTAGATGCTCGCGCCATCTGTCTGTTTGCTTCACGTCTTGCAGAAATGTCCGAAAATCGTCTACCTGTCTCTCCCTTTTCTCAAACTCGACAGGCATTACGCCAGCCACGACATAGTCACCATGCTCTAGTACTTGTCTTGCTAATGCGATAGCGATTGGCGACACTCCTCTCGTGATAAACCAGACGCGGGGGGCGTTGTGTGGAGGAAAGTGTGGTGACTTGGGCCGTGGAGGCTTTGACGATGAGGATGGCGCGTTGCTCGTCATATCGGGATCACCACTTCTGAGGAATACTTCATGTCGCTAGTCGGCTGCAATGTCCATTTGTACCCCGGACGTCTGAGCAATGCGTTCCGCGTAGGAAAGTGGGGACGGCAGTGCAATTGCCTAACTCCACAAAAGACCGGTGCTAGTCTCAAAACGCACTAGCGCGCACGAAAATGACTTGGACTATTCACTGCACAACCCCACTATGCAGCCGTCTGCCATGACGTTACAATGCTACTTCAAAAATCCACGACTCATTCAACAAACTGTAGCATTTTCGATTCAACGAGCCTCAATTGTACAGAGCACGACTTTACCAGCTGGTCTTGGCAAACCTAAATTGCCAAATTGATTCCGCACATCCGGCTGCCTTCCCCATTACTGCAGGTACGCTTTTTTTTCTTGAGTCCCCCCCGGCTTCCCATCGTCCCATAGTGCTCGGTATCTCCCAAAATATTGTATGACTCCGACACAACTCATAGCCCCTTGCCATTTGGCGCAGGATGTCATTGTTTCTTGTCGTGTCAAATTATCAACTCATACACTATAAGAAGTGTTTAGAGTCAATGGATTTCATCGTTTCAGCTAACATTGGTCACGGCACAGCCCTTCAGAGGGAAATAGGTTCTTGTAAAAATCGTCTGCCAAGAATAGTACATCGTCCAGCTAGCTCCCTGAACACTCTGGAGAACTTGTCAGCACCACAAATTCTCTATAGGGCTTCATCCAATCTCTTGAAGAAATCCCAAATTTCCTCTCAGGTGCCCCAAACTCCAAAATGAGTCGATCTGCATCCCTCGCGCAGTACCAGCGCCATTCAATTCATCTCATGTCTAGGGTTCTCAACGTCCGCGCCAATACCTCACCCTTTACACTCGTCCTGGATGACCTCAACCAGCGGGCACATCCTTTTCTAACTGAGATGATGCGACGCGCGATAGCTCGGAACGTTAATGTTGTTGTCGTTGTTTTTGAATCATCACATTTCATGTCAGCTATCCGCACTGTCACTGGGTTTGGCGCCACTGGGGAGGATATCATGCATGGATTGCGCAAGGCCCTGAGTGGTACAAAAGATAGCCTCGTCATCATCGACTCTCTATATGATGCACTCAATGAGAAGGGCATCGATATGGGTAGGCTGTTTAACATGGTCGCTGGAGAGTTCGCGTCCACCCTTGTCGGCGTCTATCATCAAGATATGCTACCTGGGCATAACGTGCGACCGGAGACTCCGTACGCCCCGCAGGCACTCGACCTGGTGACTTACATGGCGACTTCAGTCATTACCTGCAAATCGTTAGCTCACTGCCTCGCCGCCAAGGCAGCCAGAGAGCGCAGTTTGCCTGAGCCTACCCATGGTCTGCTTCAGGAAGCCGAAGGCGTCGTTCAATGCCTCGACGCCAACGATCGCCGTGGCATCGTCCTTGAGGCCGAATTCCGACGCAAATCCGGCCGTCCTGAGGGCGAGACTTATTTCCTTCGACCTGGTTGTCGCTCGGATTATCAAGCTCCCGCCAGCGGTTCGCCTTTTGGTACACTAAAGCAAGAATTTGTCATTCTACTCGATCAGCTTCCTGCATACACGGGCCAAGACACGAAAGGGTTTGCAAAGGCTGCTGATGATGAGTTGGAATCGACGTTTAACCTTGGTCTTACCGATAAACAGAAGCAGGCGCGCGAGGGCATTGTTCTTCCCTACTTTGATGCTCAGAAGGGTGAGGGTGGTGAGGGTGGTCGTATTCTATACGACATGGGCTCTGAGGATGACTTTGATGAGGAAGAAGATGAAATTTAAGCAACTTGGTCTTTTTTTATTTTGAATGCCGCGGGTCATGCGATTCACGAGAGCATCTTAGATACCCTGCATGGTATGGCGTTATGGAATAGAAGAGTAATACTACCTGTTTATAGACAACTGTGTATTCTTCGAAGATGAGATTTTGTATACGAGAAGCGCAGAATGTGGCTACTTGCCGATGTATTGCTGCTTTTTGGTAGTGACCGCTCGTTTGGGTTTGATACGCTGTTAGCTCCCTGCACCTCCTTGATGCATTGTTGGCTCCATTTCTGGTTTGGGGTTATTGAGCCTCTTGTCTTCTCACTGGATTTGGATTCTGCGTCTTAAAAAACCGTCGACACTGCTCAAGTTGAGCCTGTAGTATCTTCCCGCATTGGTGGTCCTATGGTTGTTCTTTGCATAAAGTATTCCTGCTGCTCGCAATCCATCTCTTCTTCGCATCATGATCCACCAATACTTCCACTCCTTCGATGCAACTCAACCAGCGATTTGGGGGAGTACCATTTCACGGACGTTTGCATCGGCATCTATTCATCATTGCTCCAGCCGAGCGATTATCTTACCGACATGACCGCGTTATATCCCTCCTCTTCTCGTTCCGTCTCTGGCTCGGTCTTCATTGTCTTTTTTTCATACAATCGCTATATCGGCATCTTTATACATTTTCCATAGTCTCCGCGTCTTGTACAAGGTCCGGATCTACCCATGTTGAATACACGAGTATACATAGCGAGTTTTGGAGGTTTCGGATGTCTAGAGGTTGAGCTGGCTAATTTTGCTCGCTTTGTATCAGTTGCTTTAGTGATAGAGCGGTGAGATGAGGTGTTTTATTCGGGCTCGATGCAATTCGGCCTCACTTATCTTATCCCTCATGAACACACTTGACGATTCTCTTTCTATCGCATGTTCCAAATATGAGCTATCATTTCTCCTTTCTTCCCGTCGTCGACTCCATTCCCTTCCACGTCACTTCCTCCATCTTCTTCCTCATCGCCAGCCGTCTCGGCGTTGACATGATTTGTCGTTCGTGACGACGGCGACGGAGCGACCTCTTCTTCCTGTGGCTGGCTATCATCTTTGCTCTGGTTGCTTTCACCGTGTCGTCTTCTACCCCATCTTCTACGATTGAGACTTGAACATCGTATCTCGACAGTCGCCTTGCGCTCGCTAGGATACTTCTGATCATCGAGCGGTCCTCCTTGCTGGCCACAGTTTCGAGACTCTTGGAACCGCGACCTTGATGATATTCGATAAGTTCAATTACCTCTGGCAAACCACAGAGCATTTTCGCCTGATTGTACTGTGCGCTAGCCCCATGGCAAGTATGAGGGCGAACATATGAGCTCTTCCGCGCGTTTTGAGGTTCTTGGCTCTGAACTGGCCACGGTCGATGCCGTGTGCTTGCACCTCCGTTGGTAGAGTGAAGGATGGGCCTACAACTTTTGCCGTGCTTTGAATGAAACCGATACCGATACCTGAGTTGAGACTGAAGTCGGCCGCTGTGTGCAGGAGCAGGTAAATTTTATGTGCGACTGGTAGGGTATTGCTGAGTCCGGGCGTCTTGGGAAATGGAAGATATACAAAAAGGTTTAGGCGGGTTTGTAGAGTAACGTTGTGGGTGGGACACAAAGACGCTCATGGAGATGAAGCTCGGGGACGATGTGGTAGGTGTGTCATCAGATTTTCGGATGACTAGAGAAATTGGAAGGCATGGAGCAGAGGGTTATGGTCATGCTATCTCCGTCCTTCTTGCAGTACATGGTCAATGTGTAGTCGCCTATGAACATTAGTACTGAGCAGGCCGTCATAGCTTGGGCAGGGCAATTGATCAACGATTTCGTCAAATATTCGAGGCGTATACTATTGGTACAAATCAAGACATGGTTACCTGAGACTGTACCAGCAAACATATCATGCACCGCAGCACGTTCCATGGAACAGCTGGCTACCTACTTTGGTAGTGGGCATAAGTGGTAAAATTAAATGTACCATATCATCGGATGAATGAAAATATTAGGGACGTAGACTAGGTCTGATTGTCCGAGATGGCTCACTAAATATCATCTTTATACACTTTCAAACGCTGTGTAGAGGTCGTGTTAGCATAAAGAGCTAGAGAGTGTGTGAGCAACATGTATGAGCTTATTGGCCACAGGACTATGTATGTAGGGGTGTGGGCGTAGTGTCAGTTTCTCGCAATTACATCAAATAGAGACACTACCGCTAAATGTTTACTCTCTGCGTGCGAAGTGCGAAACGAGGGGTAGAGAGATCAAGTTCTGTTTGTGCAGCAGTGTCAAGCTAAGTTAAGGATATCGATAAAATCACGTGAGCTTCCTTACTACATATAAACCATGCCTACTACACTTAACTTCTTTCTCTCACCTCGCTTCCCTACCCCATTCTTAGGTGCTGCTTGAGCGCCTTCCCCTTGGTGATGGTGTAACATGTACTCGACTAGAGCGGGCTACATAAAGTTGCCTCACCTTTCCCTGCCCTACTCCTAGGTGCTGCTTGAGCGCCTTCTCTGCCTACCATATCCCATAGCAACACACCAGTCTGGCCTAAAATAACGTGAGGTGACCACGGGCGAATACCCGCTGTCGTATGTTTTTGCGATTGTTTTTTGCTAGGTGGTTGAGTATGTCACGTGGCTGGGGCCTGTCAGGCCTGGGATCCAAGTGCAGCTTGGCAGCTATTTTTGTTCCCAGGTTTCTGAACACACATGGCCTAGTTGTAATAAATTGATTTCAATATCTTCCAGCTTTTTTCTCTCTTCAAACTATGCCTACTGACTATAACACGTATTGCCAAACTTGGTAGGGCTGAATGGCGACGGTCTTGGCAGCCGAGCCCATTCAACGGTTTGATCTGCTTGTCGCGACAGTCGCTCCCCAACCCCACACACAGCTCCATACAACATAGCAATGTCAGATAACGAGCGATCGCGCGACCGCTTCCGCGAGCGGGACAGCCGTCGCGAACCACGTGAAGGCCGTGAGCGAGGCGGCACACCCACAGAACGGCGCAACCGCTCGCGCAGTCCCAGAGACCGCGGCAGCCGACGCGACACCCGATACCGTTCACGATCGCCATACCGGAAAGATGAGCGCGATGGAGCCGGGAGGGGCGGTGACCGAGCCAGGTCTGGAGCTGGTCATGATCGCGGACGAGGGCGCGACGACAGGAGAGGAGGCAGGGACGACCGCCCCAGCTTCCGCGACCGCTCACCACAACCACCAAAAGGCCCACGCGGTAGTGCCCGTGGCCCATTTGGTGGCTCTGCAAAGCCTCCAACTGGACCCCGCTCCTCAGCCGACGCCGTCAAGGAAGAGACACCCGATATCGAGATGAAGGACGAGAGGCAGAAACCAGATGACATGGACGACGATGAATGGGAGATGCTAAAGGTCATGGGCTTTGGGGGGTTCAAGAGCACGAAGAATACCAAAGTGCCAGGGAACGACAAGAACTATGGGGTCAGAAAAGACAAGCAGCTCCAGGCCAGACAGTATATGAACCGCCAGGGTGGATTCAACAGGCCGCTGTCACCGAGCAGGTCATAATGAGATGGGTGAAGATGTGCTGCAAGGTCTCGCATCAATGGCTAGGATCACGACGATACTTTTGAAGACTTGAGCTTGAAGCATGGCCAGCGTGGTATCATGCAGTCATGGCCGTCTTTTGGGTATACTCGGTGCAAGGCGAAAACATACCCGTGGGGGATATAGTCATGAAATACCATGACAAGCCCTTGAGTTACGTGCATTCAGTGAAGGAGCAGCTCACGGTATGACGCCTTCATGTTTTACCAGTTTTGGTCCTCTTTGAGTCTGACCAGAACAGAAAGAACGTGTGTCAACACAAAGCTTGTTACTGTGAGCAGGCTAGCAAAGTGTAATCGCACTCGTCTTGTCAGGCGAATGCTGCTCTTAGAATGCTAAATCAACTTTTCTTACCGATGACTAGATGAATCGCTCTGCTTGCTCCGTGAAGCGTGCCAGAAGATAGGCTACCAGGCTGCAGCAGACACCAATGCTAGGTAGGACTTGTTTGGCTGAAACTCGTGCTTAGTTGACCATTGCGCCATCGAGTCTGGGGAAGTAAGTACATATGCTTCGCACAAGATGTGGAGATGGAGCACTTGCAGCCATCCAATCAGGAGCGATTGCGGCCGCGGCCGTGGCTGTCTGAGCGAGATGTGTCCCAAACCCCGCAAACTTCAAGGTCCGGAGCTCCAGCTTCACACACCACAATGACGCGCGACAGCAGACATGGCACCCTCTGGAAGGGGCTGGCATGTCTTTTTGCACTCCAATTGCCCCTCGTGGGCGCGCAGCTGGCAGAGGTAGAGAAGGCTACCAATGCCAGCTTGCTCTGGGGACCCTATCGCCCAAACTTGTACTTTGGCGTCAGGCCACGCATTCCTAAAAGCCTGATGGGCGGATTAATGTGGACCCGAGTGGAGGACTACCAAAGTGTGCAGAATAGTAAGTACTACTGGTAATTCTGCAAATAGATGGGAATAGGACAAGAAGCATCTAGTCACCTTCACATGGCTAGCCCTAACAAGACCAATTGCTGATTCGATAGATTTCCGACACACGTGTGAGCAACACGAGCTCGATGGCTACGGCTGGGACGAGTATGATGTTCGTAGCGGTGGCCGACAAACAATCCACGATCCTGCGAACAAAATCGACATCACTACCGAGTTTATCAAGTTCCCAGGTGGAGAACATGGCGGCAGCTGGGGCGCAAGGATCAAGGGAACGCCGCGAGAAGACGCCAGCCCGAATCTACGTACAACGATCATCTGGTACAACACGCTCGAGGGCCTGGGTAGCCTGGAAGTCGCAGATGCTGATACGGAAGAGCCGGGTGTCAAAGGGGATGTTGTCTTGAAGGGACAGACGACTGAGCTTGGTGACTTTGAAATCAGGGTCACAGAAGGAAAAGGCGAGCACCCTGTCACTGGTCATCCGAGCTGGGACGATAAGCCCTTGGACAGAACACTGGTCCATAGTGGACAAATACCCGATGAGGCGCTATGGCAGGTCAAGGCCATTCTGTTCGCACACATGAAGGGGCAGATTGACGTCTTGATCCCAAAGTACGACGAGCAAAACCCGCCACCGCCTGCTCAAGTTTACACCATCCAGCATTTGCCTGGCCAAGGAAACATGCACATTGTTCAAAAGGTCTTTGAGGGGCCATTTGAGTTTGATATTATCTTCTCATCGGGGTCTGCTCCTGAAAAGGTTACCTCGCAAGACATTACCCAGCAGATTGACTCGGTCACATCAAGCTTCTCGTCTCGCTTCACTAAGATTTTCGAACCACAGGCTCCTTTTCTTAAAGAGCGCTACGAGGAGTTTTCAAAGTCGCTGTTCTCGAACCTTATCGGCGGTATCGGCTACTTCTTTGGAGACTCTCGTGTCGACCGCTCCTACGACCCCGCCTACGAAGAGGACAGTGAAGGGTTTTGGGAGGAGGCTGCCGAGGCACGAAGCAGGAACGTTGCTCAGCTTGAGGGGCCTTCGGAGCTTTTCACTGCAATTCCATCTCGGCCATTCTTTCCACGTGGCTTCCTTTGGGATGAAGGTTTCCATCTCTTGCCCGTCATTGACTGGGATGCTGACCTCACTCTTGATATTATCAAAAGCTGGTTCAAGCTCATGGATGAAGATGGCTGGATCGCCCGTGAGCAGATTCTCGGTCCCGAAGCCCGGAGCAAGGTACCTGAAGAGTTCCAAGTCCAGTATCCTCACTACGCAAACCCACCAACGCTCTTTATGGTTATCACTTCTTTCCTTGACCAGCTCGATGCAATAAAGACGGACACTAGCAGCGAAAAGCTTCGTCAGGAAAAGTCCTACTCAATGCAACTATCAAACCGTGAGGCAGCACTCGAATACCTCCGCACGCTCTACCCACTGCTGAAGCGCAACTACTTCTGGTACCGCAAGACGCAGGCTGGTGACATCAAGAGTTATGAACGTCAGGCCTTTTCTTCCAAGGAGGGTTACCGCTGGCGTGGACGTACGCCAACGCACATCCTTACCTCTGGCCTTGACGACTATCCCCGCGTTCAGCCACCACACCCTGGTGAGCTACATGTCGACCTTATCAGCTGGATGGGTATGATGACACGTGCGATCAAGCGCATCGCAATCTACCTCAACGAAGAGGATGACGCGGCCGAGTTTGCTCGCTACGACGAAGCCATTACCCGGAACATTGACGATCTGCATTGGTCCGAAAAAGACCAAACATACTGTGACGCCACTATCGATGACTATGAAGAGAATGCGCTGGTTTGCCACAAGGGATACATTTCTCTATTTCCTTTCATAACCGGCTTGATAGACAAGGACAACAAGAAGCTCGGTGCAATCCTTGATCTGATTGAGGATGAGGAAGAGCTCTGGAGTCCGTACGGTATCCGCAGTTTGAGCAAGAGCGACGAGTTCTACCATACCGCAGAAGATTACTGGAGAGGACCAGTTTGGATGCCAATCAACTACCTAGCCGTAACTCAGCTTCTTGTAAGTTTTTTCTTGTGTCCAGGAAATCTGTTCACTCCGTCTTGTTTCCTTTTTTTTTGGTTCCTTCTTTTTTACTAACCTAATAATTTCTTTAACAGAAACTTGCACAATCGCCTGGACCTTATCGTGCGCGCGCCACGAAGATTTACATGGAGCTCCGCAAGAACCTAGTCAAGACGGTGTACGAGAGCTGGAAGGAGACGGGCTTCGCGTGGGAGCAGTATAACCCGGAGACTGGAAAGGGACAGCGTACGCAGCACTTTACGGGCTGGACGAGCTTAGTAGTGAAGATTATGGCCATGCCAGATTTAAGTGGGGAAGAGGTAAGGGAGAAGGATGAGTTGTAGAGGGTTTTGGGGGAGAGTGGTGGCCATGGATAGTGTGTGTGTGTGTGAGAGAGAGAGAGAGAGAGTGAGAGAGTACGATGTGGAGTGCCAGATGACATGTGAGATATGGAAAAGAAGTAGATAGAAAAATCGAAGAGGAAAGGAATAAATGGTAGATGTATCATGATTGCTATATCATTGGCTTGAGAAAAAGCAAAGTGTGAATACATGCGATTATAATGAATGCTACAACGTGTAGTTTCGTTAAGTGCGACCAAGTTTTTTTTTTTCTCTTCCATATCTTTTTGCTGGTTATGCTGACGGAGGGGAAAAGTCATGAGACGTCTTTTTTTTTGAACTTTATGTTATATCCATAAAAAAAAATATGTTCAATAACTGTGCTAAACGGAAAAAACAAAGTCACAACCATGATATCATTTTTAATGCATCGATGAAAATAAACCAATATCTAGTTAGTTATACGGTTTTGTTTTCTGATTCACTCATGTCCCTACTATACCTAAATCTTTTTTTTTATCTCAACACAGTGATAGTTGCGGTTTGGAAATGTTGCAAACCAGCTCATATATTGCGCTGATTTGATGGCAATTTCTGTATCGTAATCGTTGGTGTTGATATTACTTTTTTTTTCTTTCACTTTGAACATAAATTTTAATATGTACTTCTCAATACTTCTCTATTACTTTTCGCTGTTTTTTTTTTCTTTCTTTCTCATCCAAGTGAGCGAATGGGGTAGGGAGTGTTTTTCTTATAGGATAAGAGATGCTGGTGGCATTTCTGATTTACCCCCCCCCCCCCTTTTCTTTTCTTTTCTGGATGTTGCAAATACAAGAGGATGATGATGGTGGTGGTAGTGGTGCAAAAGTATCTAGTTCGTCCGGATGCGTGCTTGTGAGATTGTTTTTAGAAAATAGAAATTTTGGAAAAAAGTTAAGCAGACGTATAAAGACTATATGTGAAAGAAGGTATGGGATATTCGTATATATTCGTTGATGTTTAGCTACTTATGACATAGGTGCCGAGGTGATTTTTTCGATGTGATACACTATGCTCTATGATGGAAGAATTTTTTTTTATTTCCTTAGCCTCGGATGGATGATTTTGTCACGAATGGGGAGGATAGATTTACACATGGTAGTTTACTGGGTATTCAGTGCAAATAGTGGTTTTTAGTCGGGAGTGATGCAGGTCTCTACAGAGAGGGAGGAAAGGTGGGAGCAGCTGAACAGCTAATGAACAGCGACTTCGACTTCCAAGAGTGTGTAATATATATTATCATGCGAGTGTTTTTGTAGGGCATGGGAGAACTGTTGAGCAATGTGAAGTTTGTTATTTTTCAATTTTGATTCATCATAGATGTATGAATTTCTCCGTGCGCAGTATGTAAAACGATTTGGTCACTCGCAAAGCCCATTTTACTTCTTTTGAGTGATTACGGGATTTAATGTATAATTGCTCAATGACCAGATCGTTGTTCCTGAAATGTTAAACTGTAATATCAATACAATGTCACCCATCTTCTCAACCCTTCAACCCCTCCCCTCGATGTTCTCATTTACACAATAATTATGCCCTAACTCCAAACACGTACAAAGACGGCTCAGAAAAATCCAAAACACATTGCAAGTCATGGTACACGGAACCTTTGGAGATGATACAGAAAGTGTAAACCTACCACACGAGATTTGGTCCTAGATCGTTACACTAAAATTACGTCAACCTTGTTGTATGCACGGAGAACCCTATCACACGTGGATGCCCCCCCCCCCCTCTTTTTTTGTTTGTTTCGCACTCCGCTGGCGAGTAAAACGAGTGAAGGGGAAAAAAGGGGATCATCGTACAAAGTTGAGAATGAAATTACGATGAGCAATGTGCTAGCCGAAGAACGTAGCTTACTATGCGCCACACACACAGGGGACTTTGAGCGAGAAAAATCAATGGAGCCAAGAAAGGCGAGTTTTGTTTATACGATGATAAAGGAGAATTAAAAGGAGTGCAAAAGTAATGGCAAATGATATCTTTTCATGTTGAACACTAGGCCAAGTGTTGCAAAAAGAAAACAACTACGAGCCAAGAGGTTGCACAGACGAGTGTAATGGGAGACTGTGGTGGCACACGGTTGCTCCGCCCAGGCGCCTGTCCGCACAGAGCCATACTTGGCAGCGGAGGGACGACGATTGAGTGGTGACTGTGTACGCGGAGAAGTGTGCACGTGTGTCTCTTCAGATTCCTTGGCTTAAAAAGTTTTCTATTCTAGCTTTCAGTGTCCGGCTGCAATGCCGGGGACTATCTAATCGGTAAAAGCATAGAGAAATGGAAGAATGCCGTCGGAAGCGGGGTTGAGATGCAGGCGGTTGCGTGATTATAGTGCATGGGCAAAAGGCGGACGGATATATGGCAAAAAGGCAGTCATCATGGCAAGATCGGATGTACATGTGGGGGGGTCGATGACAGGCCAAAATCTGGGGAGTTGAGGGTTCGGATGAACCCGCGATGGTTGCCAAGAACAATATGGTGCAACCTCTGAAAATGCCGCACTAAAGTGTCAGCGGCTTGGACAAGCTGGGCACACTTTGGACAGAGTAGGAATGTATTTGACGATAGTAACGGATGATGGTAAGCCGGACGCGGAGTATAGTGCCCGGGCGGAGATGCGACGAGCACAGCAGACGGTGTTGGATTGTGCGGAGGGTGGGAGAGCCAGCGCCAAGGGCGATCTGCCAGATCCGGCGCTGATGCAAACAATTGATCTGCTGCTTGGCAAGTATCAGAGCAATCGTCTACAGGTGCGACCGTGATAGATGATTTGAGTGGCTATACTCCAACGGGGGGGAAATGTGGTTGAAGATATGTCGCACTATGGTTATGCAAAGTTTTCTATCACGCCCAGGTGGTGGTAGCAGGGTTTCCCAGTATGTATGACTACGCGTGAGTAATTGCGCATGCTCCGCTCCGATATCAATGCTCCTCACAGGTCCAGCTGGACTTGATTGGTGGGGGCCTTGGTATACATATGTTCAACGCAGGTGGACAGTGTTGAATTTGTCATTGAACACGACAAGAGTGCATTTGGTTGAGTAGGCGTCCGGTGTATGCAATCGCGAGCAGGCCGCAAGAAGACATGAGTGAGGCGGGTGGGTGGAGCCCACCGTCCCTGCATGCGTCGGATGCAAGGGTTCGGGTGCCGTGAGCAGTTGGCGCGGCAGACATGGTTTGGAAAAAAAGCCCACTGTGTAGTTGGGAGCAGGGACAGAGTTCGGAGGCTGGGAACGAAACAATGGCAGCCGCACATGAGCCTCAGGTAGATCAGCCGTGAAGGTCGGGAGTGCCTCACCGGAAGCGCGTCACGAGGCTGGAGAGCTAACTAAGATGGAGTAGTGAAAGTTTCCCGAACATGTGTCGGTGTTTGAAACGCGGCGTACAACAATTGGCTTGGCGTGTGGGTGCCGCAACGCCCATGCTGCAGGTACGAAGGTACCGCGAAAAGACGTTGACGGTGGTGATCAGCGCAGGCCATGGGGCCGTCTGTCTCAGGACGAAGCACAGAGGGTCGTGGCCGTTATAGCACATGGGTGGTGACGGATGGGCAGAGGACGATACTTCAGAAACCTTGTAGCAATAGCATGTACAAAACAATACAATAGACGAGATAGCACACGGCGTAAGGGTGCGTGCGACGAGCGCGGACCGACACCGGTGGGTGGGGCGCGTGGTGGGAGCGATTCAGAGGGCCCGTCGAGGGCAACGAGGGTTGGCGTCGGTAAGAACGCTGAGTGATGGGATGGCAGGCGGAGGATGGCAAGTATGCAGTACGTGTTCGCACGCGTCCACATGTGGGTTAGAGCGATTATTCCCGCACGGCGGTGAGGCTCACTCGCGTGCCGGCGAAGCATCGGCAGTGAGAGTGGCAGGAAGGCGCGTCACGTGCGTGGGCGTGGCGGCTGCCGTGTTGGGAAGGCCATCCACGGTCTGGAAACCGGGGCAGAGTGGCAGGCTCCCCAGGCCCTCGCAGGCATATTGGCATTGGCACGATACAACGATACAGCGAGAACGGCGGCCAGGCCAGCCTCTTTTTTTTTGCAGCCAAGGCCCTATGCGACGGAACCGTGTTTCAATTTCTCCACGGCACAGGCTGGGCGTGTAGTGGAGCGAGTGCGGATGGTGGTGTTAGTCTGTCTGGCCATGATAACACAACTGCTAACGGCCACGACCGGGGGTGCCAGGGTTGGCGGGGCGACGGGGTGACAGGAGGTGTGATTCGGCCGACATGGCTGGCCGTCTCAGTAGCGGTAGGGCTCGTTGAGACAGGGCCGATGCCCGAAGCAGGCCGTGGGGGCGTGCTGGATCATGGAGAGGGAGGGGGGAGTCGGATATTGAGGCTCCATGGTGCTGGTGGTGCGTGGGGCTGGAAGGCCGCTAGAAGAAAATTGTGAATGCAGCCAAAAGTCGCGCAGGCGTGGGGAGGGCTCGGGGGACGACAGCCAAGGGCGACAGAAAAAATGCCTCGCAGCATTGAGCGGAGTCGAGGGGCGAGCCAAGGCGACAAGCATTGTTTACAGAGCCAGACGAAGCTTGGTGCTCGCTGCGAGTGCCAGTCAGTGGCGGCAGGTGGACGGGCGTGGGTTGCACTTGGCCAAACGTCATGGGGGCGCATCCCTGCCGCGTCTGCACGCTTGTCGCGGAATGTCGCGCTATCTCCAGCTTAATCTCACCAGCCGGCGAGGCGACGCGTTGGAGGAAACGAGACGAGCAAGCCAGGCCGGGCTGGGGAGTGGCAGACGGTGCAGTCACACACACGGGCAGGCAGGCCAGGGCGGGCAATGGGCGTGGCTGGGCCCATGGTTTTGTTTGCAGTCGTGGCGTGTAGCAAGTATTGGTGGTCGAGGGGGTGGTCGAGGGAGTAGTGTAGTGGCGGCAGGAGCGACGGTAGCAACAGTCGTTTGGCAGGAAGCAGCAACGGCAGCAGCAGCAGCAGCAGCAGCAAAGCTGCTTGCCATTGCTTCCTTCTCCCGCGCGGAACAGACCGGCCGTCCGTGGCAAACATTGCTCAGAAAAAAAACAGCCACAGACGATGCAGCCATGCTCAAGGGAGTGGGATGCTGCAGTCGTCGTGGTAATCTTCCCTCACGCGCGCACTCACGCATCCCATTCCTTCACCACCACTCACGCACTCGCAGCCCATGACGACGAGGCAAAAGCAGTCGGATAATGGCTTGTCAGCAGCGCGCGACGGCCACCCGCCCTCGGCCGGTCACTGCTGCACCGCCAGAACGGCCAATCTCTGCTGTTTGCGGCGCGCCGATGATGTAGCGTGCGGCGCACGGGCCCGGGGTGCTGCAAAAATGCCCCCGGGCTGGTCGGCTCGAGCTATTCCCCAACCATGGCTAGTTTTATGACAATCATAAATCCCTCATAGCGGCCAAAGGTCGGTCCTTGCTGAGTTTTTCCCTGGTTGATACGTGGGTGAGCTTCTCGCGCGCTACTTAACCAGAGCCGCGCCCGCCCTCTGAACACTTCTTCACAGAGAAGGCCCTGCTTGCGGTTCCCCTTTGCACAGCACTTTCGACCTGACCTCAACCCCTCCCAGTCAAGTCGCCCGGAAAGCCTTCTCTGTGCCCAGAGTTACCGGATATAATAATACATACGAGCAACACCCAATCCCTAATTCGACTCCGACATGGCGCCCAACGACGATGTTGAGCGCCCGCGGGCCAGCTCTGGCGCTGAGCGCCAGAAGTCCATCGTCTCCATGACTGAATTCGACGGCATGGACGAATACACCGCGCTCCAGAAGTACATCCTCTTCTACCGCGACGCAAAGGTCAACCCCCACGCCACGCCCACCGTCCAGGTCAAGAAGTGGTGGCAGTTCTGGAAGTCCGGTTCTACCACCGCTACTCCCGTCGCCGACGCTGGCCTTGTCCCTGATGAACGTAAGTCTTCTCTCACTCTGATCCCCCCGTTGCCCATTCCCTCTTTCCCCACGCCCCAATTGCTCGCCTCGCGACCGCACATCCTCCACACATACACCCGCGCACACACCACGCGCCTCCCACCTGCCTATTGCGACCGCTTGGCAATACCCATTCGCCTTTTGTTGTCGTTGAGCAGCAGAGGCCGCAATGTGGTCGCTGGTGTTGCAGCGTTGGTCCAAGCTCAAGCTCGAGCTCCCTGCCCTGCTAGCTCAGCCCGTGGCGGCAAAGCGCAGTGGAGAATCCATGCGCGTCGACTCCACCAAACTATCCGCTCCTGTCCTTACCAGCCGCGCCCTGCAAAACATGCGCAGAAAAAAAAGACTCTCTTGCTAACATTGCCTCGCAGTCCTCAACACTGAGCTTCGCACCGGTCTTTCCTCGCACGAGGTCGAGGAGCGCCGCAAGCGCTATGGCTTCAACGAAATCACCAGCGAGAAGACCAACCTTCTCAAGCAGTTCATTGGTTACTTCACCGGCCCTATTCTCTACGGTAAGCACCCGCCCCATCCTTGCGCAAACATTGTTTTAGCGCATCTGCTAACGCCTAGCCAGTCATGGAGCTCGCTGCTCTTCTCGCCGCTGGTCTTCAGGACTGGGTTGATTTTGGTGTCATTTGCGGTATCCTGTTGCTCAACGCCATTGTCGGTTGGTACCAGGAGAAGCAGGCTGCTGATGTCGTCGCATCACTCAAGGGTGACATTGCCATGAAGGCAACTGTCGTTCGTGACAACCAACAACAAACCATTCTCGCCCGTGAACTCGTCCCCGGTGACATCGTTGTCATCGAGGAGGGTCAGACCGTCCCTGGTGATGCCCGTCTCATCTGCAGCTACGACCACCCTGAAGACTTCGAATTGTACATGAAGCTCAAGGCTGAAGACAAGTTCCACGACGCTGACCCCGAAGACGAGAAGGATGATGTCGACGAGGAGAAGTTCGACGAGGAGAACCCCATTACCCAGGGCCACCCTCTCGTTGCCTGCGATCAATCGTCCATCACCGGAGAGTCTCTCGCCGTCGACAAGTACATGGGAGAGGTTGCCTACTACACCACTGGTTGCAAGCGCGGCAAGGCCTACGGTATCGTCATCACCACTGCTAAGCACTCTTTCGTCGGTCGCACTGCTACCCTCGTTCAGGGCGCTCAGGACCAGGGTCACTTCAAGGCTATCATGAACTCCATCGGAACGGCGCTTCTCGTCCTCGTCATGTTCTTCATCCTGCTCGCCTGGATTGGTGGTTTCTTCCGTCACATTCCTATTGCCACTGCCCGCGAGGGAACCGACAAGTCCGTCACTCTCCTCCACTACGCCCTCATCATGTTCATCGTTGGTGTCCCCGTCGGTCTTCCCGTCGTCACCACCACCACTCTCGCCGTCGGTGCTGCCTACCTTGCTGAGCAGAAGGCTATTGTCCAGAAGCTCACTGCCATCGAGTCGCTTGCTGGTGTCGATGTTCTCTGCTCTGACAAGACCGGTACCCTCACTGCCAACCAGCTTTCGCTCCGTGAGCCCTACGTCGCTGAGGGTCAGGATGTCAACTGGATGATGGCCGTCGCTGCTCTTGCCTCTTCCCACAACCTCAAGTCTCTCGACCCCATTGACAAGGTTACCATTCTTACCATCCGCCGCTACCCCAAGGCTCGTGAGATCCTCAACATGGGCTGGCGCACCGAGAAGTTCACTCCCTTCGACCCCGTCTCCAAGCGTATCACTGCCGTCTGCCACATGGGTGGTGACAAGTATGTCTGCGCCAAGGGTGCCCCCAAGGCCATTGTCAACCTCGCCAACTGCGATGAGGTCACCGCTACCCTTTACAAGGAGAAGGCCGCCGAGTTCGCTCGCCGTGGTTTCCGCTCTCTCGGTGTCGCTTACCAGAAGAACGACGGTGACTGGATCCTTCTTGGTCTCATGTCCATGTTCGACCCCCCTCGTGAGGATACCGCCCAGACCATTGTTGAGGCTCAGCAGCTCGGTGTTCCCGTCAAGATGTTGACTGGTGACGCTATTGCCATCGCCAAGGAGACCTGCAAGATGCTTGCTCTCGGTACCAAGGTTTACAACTCTTCCAAGCTCATCCACGGTGGTCTTACTGGTACTACCCAGCACGACCTTGTCGAGCGTGCCGATGGTTTCGCCGAGGTTTTCCCCGAGCACAAGTACCAGGTCGTCGAAATGCTCCAGCAGCGTGGTCACTTGACTGCCATGACTGGTGACGGTGTCAACGATGCTCCTTCCCTTAAGAAGTCTGACTGTGGTATCGCCGTCGAGGGTTCTACCGAAGCTGCTCAGGCTGCCGCCGATATCGTCTTCCTTGCCCCTGGTCTGTCCACCATCGTCCTTGCCATCAAGACTGCCCGCCAGATTTTCCAGCGTATGAAGGCCTACATTCAGTACCGTATTGCTCTCTGTCTCCACTTGGAAGTCTACCTCGTCACCTCCATGATCATCCTCAACGAGACCATCCGCGCTGAGCTCATTGTCTTCCTTGCCCTGTTCGCTGATTTGGCTACCGTCGCCGTCGCTTACGACAATGCCCACTCTGAGCAACGCCCCGTCGAGTGGCAGCTGCCCAAGATCTGGTTCATCTCCGTCGTCCTTGGTCTCCTCCTCGCTCTCGCCACCTGGGTTGTCCGTGGTACCCTCTTCATCCCCAGCGGTGGTATCATCCAGAACTTTGGTGCTATCCAGCCCATTCTGTTCCTCGAGGTTGCCCTTACTGAGAACTGGCTCATCTTCGTCACTCGTGGCGGCAAGACTTTCCCCTCGTTCCAGCTGGTTATTGCCATCTTGGGTGTCGATGCTCTCGCTACCATCTTCACTCTCTTCGGCTGGATGTCCGGTGCTCCTTACGAGACCAACCCCCCTACTATCAACTCCCGCTTCCGTGATGACGGATGGGTCGACATTGTTACCGTTGTCGTCATCTGGGCCTACTCTATTGGTGTTACGATCATCATCGCCATTGTCTACTACATGCTTAACCGCATTGAGTGGCTCGACACTCTCGGCCGCAAGGACCGTAGCCGCAAGAACCCTGCCATTGAGAACATGATTGCTGCTCTCAGCAAGCTGTCTCTCGAGCACGGAACCGACAAGCACGGAACTACCCGTTATGTCCTTGCTCCCCGCGCTGTTGAGGAGGAGGATGACGACTAGATATGAGTCGATGTGTATTTGGATATTTGCTAGGGTCTGATGAGCCCACCTTCATGGAAAGGTTAATTTCTCATCACTGTACTTGCTAGTCTTCTCACGTATACCAAGAAGCATAATTTCATTGTCTGAATTTAATACCCCAAACGTCCCATGATGCTGTGCCATTTGTGATTTATCTGCCTATGATTTATTTTATTTACTTTGGTTACGAATTGACTATGTTTTTGAATTTAACCACTACATGTTGCAATGTATACATTCTTGTCATGCAGTCTGGCTGAAATCTCTGTCCCTTTGAGCCCAGATTTGCAAAATGACCCTAGTTTCGCATATAGCATATCAGGGTCGTCAAACTTTTCACTTAGCACTTGGCACTTCGGCAGGATTCCCGGATGAGTTACCCTGAAGCAGTCGCAAAGTCCAGCTGTAGAGTAGACTACAGGACTACAGTTGGTACCAAGGAATGCAAAGCCATGCACAAATGACCACGCGCGGAATAAACGATTCAATGACATGGCGATGCAACACATACGGCATACGGGTAGGGTGTAGGTTTTCGTATTCGCAACGCGGGGTAGTCAACAAGCTTGCTGCAAGCCACGGCCACGGAGTTGACCAATTGTGTCTGCGCACAAACCCGGCTTGTGCATGGTCTGGAGTTGAACAGCAGCTTACCCGCGCCTGTCACCATGGTCAAAGATTGATGACAACGGCTTAGCGAATGATGTCGTGCAGCTATGAAGGCAGTGTGTTGCGTCTCGATTGCCTCACTTCCTCGGCGCTGCACCTTAGGGGGCGCTTACTAGTAATGACGCCGTCAGTACACCTAGAACCACAACAATGAAGCCATGTCTCGTGTTCTCGCCCGTCTCTCTCTGCCGACGATAACCATGCTTCATCTCCTTGAGTCGTTTTCCCTGCCCCTTCAGTTGCGCCACGTCTCAACAAAGATATAGCAAGTAGTAATAATAAAGCAAGCTCAAGTTGTAAGTAGCATAAAAGGAGAAAGCACGTCTCGGTACCCTGTTCGGGCAATCTACTAACTAACACTATTCCCGACGATACCCACTTTCCCAACCCATATTTTCTGTCCCCACCCGGCCTTCCAATAGCGCGCCAGGTCGTTTTCCGTTAGTCCAGATAACAGCAACAAACCCACACAAATTGGCTATCGAGGGAAAGTGGAAGGGGGGGCGGCCCATCATCTCGATTTCCGATTCCATGTACCGAGGCGCCAAAATGTAAGAAAACAGGGTTACTTGGATGGTTTTTTTCAATGGGTCCTTGCCCCCCCTTTGCCCCTAATATGTAATATGGGAAGCCTTACTTAACAAATTGTCCCGGGAAAACCAAACCAGGGCTTTCCGTGAGCCCCGGGTCAGGGGGGTTCTTGTGTGTTTGTGTTGAAACGAATAAGAGAGGAGATATAGTAACGTTATCGCGCGGCCGCGTTAAGAAAAAAGTACGTGCGCGCATCGGACATATGGATCCTGCCGCAAGAGCAAACAAGTGTTTGGTAACAAGCAGAGCAGAAAAATACCTCGCCAACCCTCCGTCCTTTGGGTTTGTCGTCACGCGCATATGCGCGCAACCTCCCCCCCCCCAAAAAAAAAACGGTCGGGGGAATTTTCAGGAAACAAAGTTTAGCACTACTACGTACTATGGAAAAATCCAAGTTTGCCATAGTATGCTATCGAAAGAGAGACAACCATATTTTTTCGCAAATCGCGAGCAAAACACACAGAACGGAAGAAGAAGAAGAGCCAAGGGTAATCTTGCTCTTTCGCTAGGGCCGATGCCTGCTGCATCGAAACCGACCAACAACGGGGCTGAAGGCCGAGTTTGGGTAAGTACATCGGTAACGGGGCGGCGGCATGGGGAGAATGGGGGGGGCGTCTCGCGCGCATATGGATGGTTTACCCCATCCTGGCCACCACCAAAAAAATCCACTCTCCAGTCACGTGTTCCTTGTTGTGAATCGGGCGTAAAGCGAGAGAGAGAAAGAGAAACGTATCTGTGCACTACCACCACCGCTCCTTCGTCACGTATGTTTTGTTTATGTTTTGATGTTATTACTATTACATACCCTTTTATTCGCTATGATCTGCCCGTGCGCATGTGTCTGGTATTACGGGGGGGTCCATGCGAGGGAAATTGGTAAGTATTGATCAAAGCGCGACGTAAGAAATGGGTAGTAGTTATCAATCACTACTACTTACTGACTACTGCTTTTTTTTTCTGGATGGGGGAGGCGTATGCAGCGTCTAATTCCCCTGGGAAAAAAGGGAATGGGAGCAGTGAGACGGACGTGGGGGGGACGGGACATGCAGTGTGGATGTGGGTTTGTAGAGGTGGCTAACAGCTATGCATACGATGCGCGATCCACGTGATTTTTCCTCTTGTGTTCTTCTTTGCACAAGTTGAATGACCAGGGTTTGGGGAAGGGGGGGCGAGGGATGTGGGTTTGTGGTACCACATATCACGAGGGTTTGCGCGATACGACGCACTCTCTGGCATGACGTTGGATCGGCTAATAAGCCGAGCTCTCTCTCTCTCTCTTTTGCCCTTTTGCATCCTAACCCGCCTGCGTTTCGGCCCTCCTTCGTCCAAACTCAATTCCGCACCCACCCACCCAGTCAGTCAACCATCCAACCAACCAATCAACCAACCCAGCCCATGTCGTGAATAGCCCCGCCCGCCCATCCGCCCGCTTGCCAGGCCCTGCCAGCCCCCCAGTCCCCCCATCCCATTCCCCAACCACCACATGTCGTACTTTGTAGGGGGCCTGCAGATCGACGCGCGGAGTTGATAGTCCGAGTCGCAGTCTATTTGATTAAGCCGCAGAAATTGATGTCATTACACCGATATATGCTCCCCATCGGCTATGCACCAAAAACTCATTTGCAACCAAGAAAAAAAATAAAAATAAAATCAATCACCCGGTGTACTAAGAGAACATGATAAACATAGATAGGCGGTCTGTTAAACAATCCGTGCCTCGCTCGTGTTTCGGCTTTTTGCCGCAACTAAAGACGTCATANCCTCCCTCGACCCACCCCCCTTCTCCAGCTAGCAAGTACGTAGTAGGTCCCGAGGTATGGATAACGTGTTCACAGTTTTTTTCGTGGCGGAAGCGGCTGAAAAAAAAGCAAGCGCAAAGACCAAAAGGCCAAAGAGAAGGCGAGGGAAGAAAAACTCGCCGAAACGGGCCGTTAGGGATGTCGGGTTTGCCCTTGTTGACGTCGGTGGTGGTAGGCTTTTGCCAAGATCTGCAACCGTTTTGTGACAGCTGGTTTGCCAACCAAATGTGCGTGTGTGTCTCTAGTTGATAGCCGCGGTTGTTTCTTTGTAGCACTGTAACGCAAGCGCTTCCATAGCACCATCGGTAACGGGCATCCGAGTATCCTGAGGCAAAGTCCAAGTCCCTTCTGATGCGTTGGTCGCTCCAGATGCAACGTTATTACGTCGTCGGTTTTTCATTCTCCGCGTCCCGTAGTTCGGGACAGGGTTCCTTTGCTTTTTGTTCTTTGTCAATCGCCCTGCCGCGTATGCTTTGTCTTGCAACGATTACGTTTGCCAGCAGGGAAGACTGTGGCACGAAAAGCAAGAGTTTGACGTCTACTTGTAGGTCACATGGAACTGTAGTCTTGCTTGGCAAAGGAGGGTGAAACTGATCTTGCTGTCAAACCGCGTAATCTGAGCCATGGAACAAGGCTGGTAGTGTATACAGACTAGACTTGTGCCAATCATGTACTGTACCAGGACCAAGCCGTTATGGTGGCGAAACAGTAGTGTAGTCTTTGCTATATGCTGGTATCATAGTTACCAAGGTTTAATGGATGGTAGAGGTTTTAGAGTTTGAAAAACAAATACTACATATGCAAGGGCAGGGCTGAAAGAGGTGCACATGTTACAAGAGATGCCAAGATAAAATGGTCCGTAGAATCGGCTTAGCATTAGGCACTGGTAGCCAATCGAAGAATAGAGGAATGAATGCATGTATTCTAGTGTTCATGATGATATGATTGGTGTACTCTAGTTTAACGTCAAGTGTAGTAATACCTTTATGTGAAAGACTTGTGTCCTATTGAATATGCAAATGACATATCAACATGGAGAAATGAATGTAACAAATCTATGGTAAATATGATGCCAGAACAGCGTCACATGGCTCATGGATTGACCAGCCCATTCAAGTTTGCCTCGAATAAAAAAAACAGCGAAATCGGTACACACCCTGCATCATTGTCAATCTCAATATCAAAGACTGATTCATTTCCATCGAGCACAAGTCCGATAGTCAGTCATATCAAAAGAATAACCGTCCTATGTCATCAGCGGATAAAATACCACATACGTCCAAGGCACAAAAATCCACCACGGTTCGTCACGCGGTAAGCATAAACCCGCCCATCCTCCACAAGGCTGACACCCTGGACACAATAACACACCAATTATGCAGGGCCCACACCTATCACAACAGTATGCGGATCATCAGGTACATCGGCCGTCTTACTTACATACCTCCTGTGGATCCCAACGATCACCATTACCCTCGCGCAACGAACCGAAAGGTAAAAAACAAGGGCGGGCTCCCAGTACATCATGCCACTGTTTGATTCTAGAAGCCCTGGCCGCGTGTTTTTGCGCATACTTACTCGGAAGCAGACGGAAGAACTCGGCAAAGCCAGCAAGAAACGAAAATAAATAAAAAAAAAAGTTGGCCATTCTAGATTTCGTAGCGTCGGAGCATCGGGTTTAAGGGCGATTTGCTAAGATGCTCTGGTTTTTTTTATTTCCGCTTTCGCAGTATTGTCGGTGTTGGGGACGGGGGAAGAGGGACCTTTTCCGATTTATTGATTGAGATGCCGATGGGGGGTGGTAAGCGTGATGGTGAATGCGTTGGCTTCCGGTTCGCTACCCAACAAATCTAGTACGAGAGAGATGTTTGCCGGATGTGGCTAAATGCCTCAATTCTTTGGGGTGGGAGAGGCTGGACTGTCATCGTGTGCTTTTTTTTTAATTTGGACTTTACGCATAGGTATTTTGCGGGAATTTTAGACCAACCGAAAGTTTTGCAGAGAATCACCGAGCCCGCGTGAGCGCTTTCTTGTTCCGACAGCGGTGAGCGAGATCCGAAAGTGTTTATGCTTTCCTGATATTGATCGGCTTCCGATTTGCTTGAATTGAGAATACTGGGGCGCTTTCGCTTTGGCTGGTGAGGGATGTGTCCCACTGATTGTAGCGTGATCCGTCGGCATGGGCTTTGCTGCGTAACTGCGTTATTTACCATGAACAATGCTACCTATCAGCAGTTGCCATAATTAAGCGAGATTCAATGTAGTTTGTTGCTTGCCTGAAAGTAATCCCATTAACTTCCGGTGAGTAAAATATCATAGTACCGGAAAAAGTCCTTGAGCTCCAGCGTCGTAACCATGACATGTCAGACAAGAAAGGCCCAGAAAACCATTGAAAGTAAGAAAGCCGAACCGAAAGGGTAAAAAAAATTACACCGTGCTTCTGCCTCTGTTAATAGAGAAAGAAAGCCCAAGTGGAAGTAACCTGTCATGTAAGCAGGCGCGCACACTAACCTGTCTCTTCCTCAACCTCAACACTCCCCTTCATACCCAGTCCAAACCCACGTTGCGTCTCTCCCAAAGCCCTACGCATCTTCCCACAATAAACCTCACAATCTTTCGTGCGCAAATCCAGTCCATCAGCCATAGAACACTCTCATCCCATTCACCTTCGCTGACCAAATCATCACGCCCACTACACAAAAGTGCAATCATTGTAACCCCCCAAAACAAAAGAGACACCAGAAATCACTTGAAAAAGCCACAAACGTGAGAATTTTGCCAAGGTAAGAAAAAGAAGAAAGCCCAGAAAATGTGCCTCAAGAAACAGATCAAGGTTTGTGGTGTGCTTGTCTACGGCCAAAGAAGCTATACAAGCGAGACGCCAGTCCGCCAATGGATAAACCCCATCACTCTTTTTTTTACTTCCCTCAAACTAGCCACATGCAACATGTAACGTAAATGGGTAAATATAAGCAAACGGGGTGTTCGGTATGACGTAGAGGGTGGGTGGGGGCTTTAGTCGTAGTACCGTATAGTTTTGTGTTATGAAAAAAAACCGGGGAAGCCATGGGTAAAAGAGGAAACAAAAAAGACCAGCAGTTGCAATTTTCCAAGTTCTTCATTCCCGTCTGATGTCTTTTTTTTTTACCTATCTTGATAGTGGTTCCTTGGGAGGGGGGGNAGCAAAGATGACATGCGCTACTTTTCTTCTAGAACAGGCTGGTTTTTTTAGTAGCCTCCATCGTGTGCATGTGTGGGTGAGTCAATACATTCCTAACCTTGTTTCTAACACAGCCACATGCACCCAAGATCCACTTTCTGCGCTTCTTCCTCGGAGCTCCCCCGCGTCTCTTGCCCCCCCACACGTATGCAGCGGGCTTGCTATTTGTGGTTACGTGCCGAAGGTGGGCTTCCCGAAGCCATTGGGGCTTGATCGGTGGTACCTTACATTAGTTCGATGCTTGGGGCTTGCAAGGGATGTCTTGTGGAGGACCGAAATATTCACCGTAGACGACCTTTTGATTTCTTGTTGTCTGCTGCGGTTGTCAACGATACTTGGCTATATTCGAATATCGACAGGAGCAGACTGAAAGAAATAGCAATGGACTGCTCATGCCCCGCACTCGCACTTAATGGAAACTTACGACGAAAGCGTATGTTGTTTGAGCAGACACCCCTCTCCATCCTGGAAAAGCTCTTTCAAGATGTATCTTGTCTTAACGTCTGCAACATATCACTCGGTTAGTGCTATATCATGAATGATATCAGCACTGTTTTCTACCAGCATGATATATCGCACTTGAAAGATATCCAGGGGCGACCGGCAATCGGGAGAGATCATGGCTGGCAAGTAACCGCTGGTGTAGAATCGATTGAATATGATAGATCATACGTTTCGAAAAGAAATACCAATTCAGTTTTGTAATCTATTGACGTTTTGCTACATAATGTACGTTTGACTACCATTCCATCGCACTTCCAAATACCACTTCCCAACCGCCTTCGTTGACGTTGCATTTCATCTTTCAATAAGCAATCATATACTGAGCTTAAACTGTAGACACACCGTTTGTCCAACTAAACCGCTCCCTCTTATATGGAGTAATAGCCCCTTGCAAATGCCTTATAAAACACCCTTTGCCAGAAGGCGTTCTTCCTCTATGCTCTCTTTTACCCCCCCCCTCGTCCACATATCCGGAATGAAAATTCAGTGATATCTCTCAGTCGCTTCTTCCAAGACCATGCGCAATTGTTCACGTTAGCAACACGACAATAATTCGCTAAGTCTCCAGGTCTTCAGCTAGTAAGCGAGATAGTAAGTATACTTTCCTCGTCCGGCATACTCCGTCTTCATTTACTCCATCCAGAAGACTTGCTACTGAATAAACACCTAAGCTACCTCATTCTTCTCAATGCAAAGCAGTGGCGATCCAAGACGCAAGCTGTTCCTGATCACTCCCACTTCGCAGTGTTTCCAGAACAAACACAAATCTACGCTGAATCAGCGAATTCGGAAATAGCCTGAACATTGAACTTGGCTTTATCTTACTTACACTACCAAATACTGACCCGGTAGTGTTTTTACTAGCCTAATCGACAGTTGCTAGACGAACACCAGGTATGACAGCGTGGACGTCCTGGTGCTAGTTGGACATGGAACTGATCTTCGTGACATTCAGTGAAATAGAGAAGTAGGATATGGATAAACATGGAGAAGGATCGGACCATTAATTTCTTCTTGAACAGCAATAACTGTGCGGCTAATATGGAGAAAATAGTGCGGCGAGTGGCGAAATGATCGAGTTGGAGGTTCATGACTGTTGATTCGTGTGTTTGGTGAAGTATGTACGGCAGAATTTGAATGTAAAGGCTGCTTTTGTATTTCCTACATGATAAGGGATTGCTTGAGAAACTGTTATGGTGATGGCGAAGATGCGTTTGGAGGACGGCCGTGTAAGACGATAAGACTGGTCTTCAGCATGACGAAGTAGCCGCTTCACCGATTGAGAACGACTATATCCCCTTTTTTATTTTCTAACAAGATGTGAATTCTGGAGTAATGACTACTCTAAAGTGACGACTATCGCAAATGTGAGGTAGCCAAGTAGTATCGTACAGTGTCACTTTACCTCCTCATAATGATGTTGGCTCCTACAATTGCACACACCAAGGAGCTCTGACTTCCTCCGTTTGTATTTCTAGAAACACTATGCATTTCCATTGTCGTGTTTAGGTCTCGCACCACTGACCTTGGCTGGAAGCAATGGCAACAGCACGTATAACCCACATACCAAAGCAACCTGAGTAAGCCAAAATAGCTGGCCCCATAGGAGATTGTACTTGACACTGATAGCGTATATACTTGACGCTACGGCAGGAGCAACGGATCGAAGACCACACTGAAACGCAATTGCAACAGCGTTCAGAGTCCCAAGGGTCTCAGGCGAGGGCGAAATGTCGTTGAGTGCAAGCTGCACCGAGGCTATTATACGCATTAATGATGAAGATCAGGTAAGTAGCATGCGGGGCGTACTCACTGAATGCCATTGAAACCCCACTGAAAAATGCCAGCATCGGCGGTGCGGTGGCCCAGAAAAGGATAGTCCTGCCATATCGCAGAAGGACGTTGTAAATCGGAATAGAGACGAAAAGAACAGGCCAAGCTATCGCGCATAGCCAGAGCAAACGACTGGTGCCGAAACGCTTGTGGAGTATTGGGAAGACTAGTAGCAGCCAAATAGCTTGAGAGATCCCATTGAGCCCTGTGAACATAGCGATTAGACCTGATGAGAAGCCAAGGCCGCCCATGTCCACGGGTGTGTATTGAGCTAGTGGAAACACAGCGGTAAAAGTGTACGCCAGAAGCATCACATAATTGTAGATGAGAAGAACAGGCGTGACACCGGGATACTTGAGTAGCTCCCGAGTCGACAAGCTGGGCTTTGAGTTCTTCGCATCACCATGAGTATGCAGCGTTTCCTTTACAAACAGCAGGGTGGAAATGGCGGCAGAAAAGCCAATTGCGGCAATGACAATGTTTGGCAACGCGTAAGGATAGTCGTGCCAGAACTGCACCTTGCCAAAGGTCGAGGGAAACTTGTCAGCTGGTCGCTCGAGTCCACCACCTGTAGTTGTTTACTTAGCACATGATGAGCGTGTGCTAATCTCTATGTCACTTACCAATCAGCGGGCCTACAAAGATGCCCATATTGTTGGAGAATGCAAAGAAGCTAAAAGCGCGAGCTTGTGTGTGCTTGGTGCTGTTCTCAGAGAGCATGGCACGGACAGTAACAACAGTACCAGCAAAGACGCCAGAAAAACATCTGAGCAACGCCAGCTGCCATATAGATTGACTTAGACCAAACAGTAAAGTAGCAATGGTCATTCCAAACAATGATATAACCAGCACTGGCTTTCTCCCATACCGATCAGAAGCCTAGGAACTGGGTTAGCAGGGATACTATCCTTTTTGAATTACTAGCTAGTCGCAAAATCACCCACCTTGCCCCATAGAATCATGACACACATCTGAGTTGCACTGAATAGACTTTCAATCAGCCCAGAATAGAAACCAACATCCTCCTTGTCGACACCGCCAACTCTCTCAATCATGAAGTTGATATAGGGAATGATGGAGAAGAACGCAATAGGCCCTATACATCCCCCGTAGCACAAGAGAAGGACTTGTAATTTTGGAAGTGGGCGATGTTCATCCTGATTCCTGTTCTCGATGCCTTCGTTCTCATAGGGCCCTGAGCTCTCTTCTATGGGCGCAGGTTCCACATATGACAACAACGGTGCGTTCTCATCAACAGTGTTAATGGACGGTGGCCTATTGTGTATGCTAGATGGTGGCGACATAGTTCAGACGCGTGCCGAGTGCAGACAAAGCTTGGTAAACAGTTTAGTGGTTGGAAGAAGGCTGAATGATGCAGCGATAGTTCAGACGACCTATTCTATAGCACGCCAGGTTGGCACATATGACAAGGCTCTGAGAAGAGAGCTTCGCGCAAGGCGGTGAGCTCACAGGCGGGGACATAGTGAATATGACAGGGCACATTTAAGCTCTTTGTGAAGCCACGCGTTGCTTGGTAATCGACTAACGGCTCGAAAAAGCGACACATCCCTGCTAGCGCCGCGATGAACATCAAGAGTCACCAAACCAAAACACGTCGGAATAGCTCCTGCCCATCTTGGGTAAACTATGTGCACGGCAAGACGTCAGACTTTGAGCAGGCGGTCTCTACAGACATGTCATGTCAAATACGGCTGTCTTGGGGAATATCATCATGTCCACAGGCCCATCAGAGCACGTCACAAACATCACTTGAGCGCTACCCATCTGTAAGGGATACAAAAGTGTCCATAGGCTTTAAGCTACAACCTTAAGATCCGCACTACAATTCATGTGTGAGCCCAAGCTGCTCCATAACTCAAACACCCAATCATTGACCCGCTGTGCTATTTTGTGGACAACCACCATTTGTGAAACCCAGGAATGACAGTGCGCCAAAACGCAGATGTCTCCGCCTGTAGGCTTGTCATGATCTCGAGAACCGTACGCAGGAACACGCTGGTGAGAAAGACGTTAGTTGAGGAAATTGTCCGAGGGCGCGGTGATTCATACCTTAGAAGCACTTGCGGTGAACGATGGAGGGACCGCTCTCGTCGTACTCCTGCTTTGAGATCCACATCTGCTGGAAGGTGGAGAGCGAAGCAAGAATAGAACCACCGATCCAGACAGAGTACTTGCGCTCGGGAGGAGCGATGATCTTGACCTTCATCGAGGATGGGGCGAGGGCGGTGATTTCCTTCTGCATGCGGTCCGAGATACCGGGGTACATGGTGGTACCACCAGACTAGTTTTTTTTGTTAGCTGCCTGTTACCGTGGTTGTATGCAGTGTAACATACCATGACAATGTTGCCGTACAGGTCTTTCCTGACGTCGACATCGCACTTCATGATGGAGTTGAAAGTGGTGACGTGAATACCACCGCTCTCAAGACCCAAGACAGAAGGCTGGAAGAGAGCTTCAGGAGCACGGAAACGCTCGTTTCCAATGGTGATGACCTGACCGTCAGGAAGCTCGTAGGACTTCTCCAAGCTGGACGACTGGCTGGCAGTCTGGATCTCCTGCTCGAAGTCGAGAGCGACGTAGCAGAGCTTCTCCTTGATGTCACGGACGATTTCTCGCTCGGCAGTGGTGGAGAAGGTGTAACCGCGCTCAGCCAAGATCTTCATGAGGTAGTCGGTCAAGTCACGACCAGCCATGTCGACACGGGAGATGGCGTGGGGAAGGGCGAAACCCTCGTAGATGGGGACAACGTGAGTGACACCGTCACCAGAGTCGAGGACGATACCAGTGGTACGTCCAGAGGCGTACAGAGACAGGACGGCCTGGATAGAGACGTAGAAAGCGGGAGCATTGAAGGTCTCGAAAACAATCTGTGTCATCTTCTCACGGTTGGACTTGGGGTTGATGGGAGCCTCGGTGAGGAGGACGGGGTGCTCCTCAGGCGCGACACGCAGCTCGTTGTAGAAGGTGTGGTGCCAAATCTTCTCCATGTCATCCCAGTTGGTAACGACACCGTGCTCAATGGGGTATCGCAGAGTCAGGATACCACGCTTTGACTGTGCCTCATCACCGACATATGAGTCCTTCTGGCCCATACCAATCATGATACTGGCGTGTTTGTCAGCTTGAATATGAGGGGGAGATGGACACGGGGAGGTTGGTCGTACCCATGGTGACGCGGTCGGCCGACAATGGAAGCTGCAAAGCTGTCAGAATCGAGTTTTCACACCATACTGCACCCAGAGGCCACAGTGTGACGCTCTCGATGCAGCTGTTGGGGAGTAAGCTGGCGATCGAGGTACTTACGGAAGACTGCTCGGGGCGCATCGTCACCGGCGAAACCGGCCTTGCACATACCCGAACTGTAGAATGTCAGCTCAAGTCCACTTGTCTAACTGTAGACTTGCGCGCTGCTGTGGAGGCGGTGATGGGGGCTTTGGAGGGTGCTTGGGCGCTGGGCACAAGGGAAAGCCCCTCCACAGCAGGGATGGCAGGTGTTGGGTGTCTGGGATGCCAACTCACCCATTGTCGATGACGAGAGCTGCGACTTCCTCTGTAAGGGGAGAGAGATGTTAGCAGAGTTGATTGAGATAGATGGCAGGGTCATTGAGGATGGGCATCGGGCAGGGAGGTAGGGGTTCAGGCTGCTTACCCTCCATGATGATTGACTGATTAGGGTGAGATTAGAGTAAACGTAGAGCTGTGAGAGGGTGTGGGTGTAGCGTCGCTGGAGCAATTGGAAGTTAGCAGAGGAAGCTGGGGGTGTAGCTACGGGGCCAGCAGCAGAGAGGACGCGGACAGTCGGGGGAGCTTACAAGTTCGGCGGCGGTGTTGAGGATGAGGTTCTTGTGCGCGAGGCAAGAACTGGGTGTGCTAAATAAGCGGGTCGGCCTTGCCCAGATTTAGCGGGGTGGCAGGAGCACAGGAGCGAAGGAGGGCTTTGCACGGGCGGACTGGTCCCAAAGGGGGTTTGTGTATAATTCTAGTGACTGAGTGGCCAGCGTGGGCGAGCAGTACGGCGGCCAACTTATAGACGGCGGGCGTCGACTCTAGGCTGCACCATTGATGCTCGTGAAGGCGGGTAGCAGCAGCGAGCAGCACACGCAAGCCGTTCCGCCACAGCAAACGGGAGGTGTTGTCCACGCACGTCAACTGTACCAGACCGCCAGGCAGCGCTGCAAAGGGCTTGGCGCAGGGCGAGCATAGCGACTCTCCACTACGCACTACGTGTTCTCGACGGCATTGTGCTGGTAATGCACGCCCGAGTTGGGCATGGCACACCCAGCAGCCCCCAGCCACCCAGCCGGCCTGCATTGCTGTGGTGTTGCCATTCTTCCGCCATCCGCCATCCGCGGCCTGCTCACCGCCAACTCGTCCTCTCGCCGCCCTCTGTCGCCCTGCCCCCGCCTAGCCCCGATCCGGACGTCACGTGCAATGAGGGGTACGGTGGGTCGGCCCAGTCCGCCCACCTGCGTACCTGGCCAAACGAGCAGACGCCGCCGCGCAGCCCCCTCAGCGCTGGTGCGTGCCATTGCACCACGGTAAATGCCCATCTTGGTGCCGGCCAGTCGTGCAAAAGCGCATCGAGCCATGGCAACACACATCCAGCCGTCTCGCGACAAGTGCAGCGCTATGCAAGCCTGCGTGGGGACTGCTGTAGTCCATCGAAGCCGCCCGAAGCTGCTGGCCCCATCGCAACGCCCCCCGGCGTGATCAGCGTCATATGTCCCGCCAAAATTATTTCAACACCAGAGCCCACAGCCCAACCCCAGCCCTCGTCCACACAGACACTTCCACCCCAACCTCACACGCGCACCCAGCATCATGAACGACCCCGGACTAAACAACCTCCTCAAGTGGGGCATCCAAAACTCCGAAGCCTCGCGCACCGACGGAGCCGCTGCAGACCAGCGGCCCGCCCAGATCGATGTCGAGGCCCTGCAACGCCTCGTCACTGGCATGTCAGGCCCCTCCGATGCCCAACTCATGCAAGAGAGCATGCAGGTCATCCAGAACGAGGAAGCAGAACTCGAGCACAGGACGACCGCATTCGACAACTTCGAGCAGCTCATCGAGAACCTGGACAATGCAAACAACATCGAGAGCTTGGGCCTGTGGATGCCCCTGGTCCAACAACTAGAGAACAAAGAATCCGAACTGAGATTCTACGCTGCGTGGTGCTGCGGCACTGCTGTACAAAACAATATCAGGACGCAAGAGCGAGTAAGTGGTCCTTGACGCACAACCCATTTTGCACAATACTAACGTGATACAGCTTCTTGTTGTCGGCGCTATTCCCACATTGGTTCGCATGGCCACTTCAGATGCTGACAAGAAAGTCCGTAAAAAGGCCATTTTCGCCCTGTCCTCGTCGGTCCGAAATTTCCAGGCAGGACTCGACGCCGCTCTGGAGCATGTGCCCGCTGAACTCAAGCCTAAAGAAAAGCTGGATGCCAACGACATGGAATCGGTAGATTTGCTGATCAACAAGCTGCGCGACAATGTATAGTGTCTAGGTTGCGCATGCTTTGCATTGGGCGGCGTTGCGGAACTACAATTGGGTTAGCATGGGAATGGCGCACATGTGGGACGACAGTTATGAGGCAGGAACTTAAAGGATCATTACCAAGGACATGTCCGGGCTTGGACAGAGAAGCGGTTTGCTTCGGGGATATCATAGAAATCACATCGAGCATTGTCAGGACTACTGGTCCAGATCAGAGCAGCTCAAAATATACGACATCTCATATTATTCCCAGGACCAGTCCAACCAGCTCGCTGAAAGCTCCTCTCCCCACCATACTCTTATCTAAACCCATGCCCAATACAACCATCCTTGACTCTCGTTCGTCGCGTTGCTTGATTGCGCTAGCGACTTGGGTTGCAAGCGTTTGTCCAAGCGTGTCAAGTTCTGGTATAGTGCCGCCCAGTATAGTTGTAGCCGTTAGTTGGTGCATAGGCAAGAGGTCTGAATTTGGATCCTCCTCGTCCCGCTCGAGGTAGGAATTGGACGTGACCGAGGCATCTGTCGCCGTGATATCAAGCGGAACGTGTACCTGCATTTATTGTAGTTAGCGACTATTGCTCTAGTAGTATAGTCAAAGGTTTCTTTTTGTACCCAGTGCGCTAGTCGGCCTTGCTGCGTAACCGTGATAAGTACCTTGTCGGCAAAGCTGATGGCCGTTGCCGTCGTTTCTAACCCATTTATGGTCACAGTCGCTGTCTTGGTGTGTGCAGGATAAGCCGCTGGCGTCACGACATAGCCATCTGAATCGATTGCTGCTGGCATGTTGCTATGAGGTGTGTCGCGCTGAAGCGGGGTGATGGCGAGAAGAAGAGTCGGCCCACCTGAATGCGTCGTCTGTTACTGGCCACGGGAGTGATGCGGAGAGTCGACGCTAGCGTCTGATCCCCGCCAAAATTATTTCGGGCGCATGCGAGCAGACTTCGCAGCCATCATCCACCCAGCATGCCCAAGTTTGTGCCCCGGCAGCGAAAGCACAAGGTTCTTGCCCGTCGCAAAAATGCTGCCGGCCCAAGCAATGGCGTCGACGATGCCAACACGGCTGAGATATTGCCTGTTGAACAGCAGGAGCGTAATGCGAAGAAGGCAGCGCTGAAGGAAGAGCTCACACGCGAAGCGCAGGGCAAAATGTCTAACAAAAAGAAAAAGCGCCTCGAAAAATACATTGTATGTCACTTTGCGCTCCAGTTGTTTCTCACTTACAAGCACGACTAACCCACCTAGGATACCAAACTCAAAAAAGAAGAAAGCCTCGAGCTACTGAAAAAGCTTGCCACCCAGAAAATCGACACCACCTTATTCCAGAGTTCAAAGAAGCTTGGTCGAGGAGCGGATACAAAGAGAGAAGCTTTGAGACGTGCGCTGGCCGAAAGCCGGGCTGGGATAGATGTGGACAAGAACCAAGCATTACTACTGGAGGAGCGCGAAATCAGAGACATTGAGGACGAAAGCTTAGATGAAGATGAGCAGGTATCAGCGCCTGTATCACATTCAGCACTCAAACCTAGTGCGCGGCAGGCTGCAGCAAAACCAGCACATGAGAACGAGGTATCACGAGAACGCGCGCAGTCACCATCGCCATCTGAGCCGGAAACCGACACCCACCAGCCCATGCCCGAGATCCTTGTGGAACCGCGACAGACAAACGGTCTATTTGGAAGTGGGTTGAAGAGGCCTCTGGAACTGGATGATTCGGGCAAACCAGTAATACAAGTACGAAAGCGTCGCAAGGGTCAGACTACAAAACCAGTTGAAGTTGAAGAAGAAGTGGAATGGGAGGGTTTTAGTTCAGTCGAGGACAACGACAGTCAAATGGAGGAAGACGATTCAGCGACCTCCGACGCGGAGTCTGAAGATGAAGGCGCTGATTCCGAGGAAGGTGACTCTTCGGGATCAGAGCAAGGCGGATCGGAAGAGGACTCCGAAGACGAAAGCGATGAAAGCGACACCAGTCTGGACGAAGATAAAAAGCTTGCAAAGAAGGAAAGAACATCAGCTTTTAAGGCTTGGGCAACACAACAAAGAAACGAACAAGTAGGCTTCACTCCGACTAACCAACTCTCTTTCGCGCCCACCCCAGCAAATTTCAAACCTCGAGCCCCAGAGCAAGACCCTCTGCCTCCCGAACTTGAAACGAAAACGAAGACCGATATTACCCGTAAAGCATTCAGCGTAAACGTCGATCGATCGCCCGAAATACAAGAGTCCAGAATGCAATTACCGATTGTGGCCGAAGAACAAAAGATCATGGAGGCGATACACAACAACGACGTAGTGGTAGTTTGGGGTTCCACTGGTAGTGGTAAAACTACCCAAGTGCCGCAATTTCTTCTAGAATCAGGCTACGGAGCAGCGGACGGGCCAACACCGGGCATGATCGGGGTCACTCAACCACGCCGTGTAGCCGCTGTCAGCATGGCAAAACGTGTTGGCGATGAGCTTGGAGATCAAGGTTCTAAAGTGGCGTATCAGATCCGCTTTGATACAACCACAAGCGCCAAAACTGCTATCAAGTTCATGACTGATGGTGTCCTGCTACGAGAAATAACTCAAGACTTCGTCCTGACAAAGTACTCCGCTATCGTCATTGATGAGGCCCACGAGCGTAGCGTCAATACCGACATTCTCATTGGCATGCTCAGCAGAATAGTTGATCTCCGAGCTCAGATGGTGAAAGATGATCCTAAAAACAAGCCCCTGAAACTGATCATCATGTCGGCTACTCTACGCATATCGGATTTCACAGAAAACAAGCGCTTGTTTAGAAGCGAACCTCCACCGCTCATCAAGGCCGAAGGTCGCCAATATACCGTCGTGAACCACTTTGCGCGTCGCACTCAACGAGACTACGTCGAGGAAATGTTCCGAAAAGTGTGTAGGGGTCACCGAAAGCTGCCCAAGGGCGGTATGCTCGTCTTTCTTACCGGTCAAAACGAGATCTCACAGTTAGCGAAGCAATTGAAGCAAGCCTTCCCATCTACTCAAGGCAAAGAGATAAAAGCTGGCAAGGTTGTTGTTTCTCCAGCAGAAACACCGTTGGAAGTCGAGGACATTGAACTGGGCGCACCGACCAAGTCCACAGACTACGAAGACGATGATGGTTCAGACTCTGAAGGTTCAATAATAATGGGCCTTGACGACGAGGACGACAAAGAATTCGAGATTGAAGATGAGAAGCCTGAAGAAACCGTCATGAATGTGCACGTTCTACCGCTTTATTCACAGTTGCCTACCAATCAGCAGCTCCGTGTCTT